GAACAAAGAAGAGGAAATTGGTGTGCACTTCACTGTCTTGAGTGGTTACTAAATATAATAGGGTCGAAATTTTGCCGTAAGGCATCTGTATCTTTTTTTTGATCGGTCAAAAATATTTTGTAAGTGAATGAATTTTTGCCTAACACAGGAAATGAAGCAAATAAGCGTAAATCACACAAAGATATTCTGCGACATTAACTTTCCAACTTTATAGATCGGTACTCTTGTTTGATCGCGATTCCTTTTTGACAAAATTTCCACATTCTTTACTGAACCTAACGGAAGCAAAACAATAATTTACTAAACAACATTAAAGTTTTGAGATGTAGCTATTTTTTGTAAAACATGCATCTAAGCGATTTACATCCTGCTAACTTGCTATACGAGACATACGACCGGTGGCGAACTGACCGATCCAGGACTACCCTTTTCTGAAACGGTGAATAGAAGCGGGTTTCCTTTTACTTCGGTGGAGAACAAACAAGGTGCGCTTGTAATGGACGTGCTTCAATCATTCCTACATCATGTACATTGAGGGAGGCGATAATAATTCGTGAAACATTATCCGTTACTTTTTCTTGCGAGGTGCGCACCAAATTTCGGGTTGATGTGAGGGGCAGTGAAAGATAAGCTGAAATAAACCGCGAACGCAGTGTAAGGAAGTGAGGCATGTATGCTTCCGCCTTCCTCTCCTTCTTTTTCTTAGTCGTGTCATGAAAAGTTTAGTGTCGTTGACAAGCCAGTGACAATGCCCTGGAGACTTTTAGTTGGAAACATGGGGAAATTGAATGGAAACGGAGCTTGAATTCCATAAAGCGGTGTGAGACGCATTGTAATAACCCAAGAAGCGCGGGTGCAAGTTAGAGGGAATGAACTTAGCGTGTCAGTGCTACTGTGAGATTGCCTCGGTCGTTGCTTGACATTTGCGCGCAACACTTCCCTTAGTAGCCTTTCGCAACCTTCTAGGCAATTCCTAGTCTTTTTAGTCTTCTTTCCACGCTTAATTTAATTTTTATGATTTTTGACTCCAAACAAATGAAATTCTTAATTCAACCAAGTGATTCCTTTTTGACTAACAAAAAACACACGCGAGGATGTATGTGTGAATGTCTGCCTTCCCCTTATTCCTGCTTTTTATTTTTTGCATCCGGTCAGTGCCTGATCGTTGATTTTTGGGTGAAAAAAAGGCTGTCGATACTGATGCCTCACTTTTTTTGTTATGCAGCCTGGATGAAAAGGTTATTCCGTGTTCCATCTCTCCTTCCACATTTTGTGGGCTTGCTTTTCCAGCGCTATGTATATTTCGCCCTTGGGATTCTTAAAAGTGGCAAATTGAGTCTTTTTCTTACGCTTTTTGGTTCCCTTTAAATTTTAGGAGACTATGGCATTCAATAAACTCAACGTCTTTCACTGGCATGTTACCGATGATCAGTCTTTCCCTTTTGTCAGCAGAACATTTCCAGAGCTTTCAAAACAGGTGAGTGGATAAAATTTCAAAGAATAATGGGTAATTTGCGTAAGATATTCAAGTCCAGGAGGGACTTTTAAGTTTCTGTGAGGAATAGACCACAACACGGAGGAGTGGGAACTTTCGCCGTATTTGAGAAAGCATTTTCAGTACAGCGTGATTTGTCGGTACAGCTATGGACCGTTAGGGTGGTCTACCTCGTTAGTAGTGTTGAATCACTGACCCTCATGTAATTTGTCTCCCTTTATCCTATTTTCGAGTCCAAATTAAAGCGCTGTAGTCGGATGTCGATACATGTAATAGCGCCTTTCCTTTCTAATGATCCCGTTCACTCGGCCCTGTTGATGAGATTCGGAAGACCATCTTTGTACCCATCTTGCATAACCTTTCTATAAGCTTTAATGCACGTCCATGATTGTGTTGTGCTCACCTTTTCCAAGGGCAGATTTGTCCGTCTCCTGTGCAATTATGTCAAGTTTGCGGGTCAACTAAATATTCACAGGATTTATTGCTCTACCCTGAACTAGGAACGAAATGACATGGCAGACATATGGCATTAAATTCCCCAAACGCCTGACTGCTGAGCGGGCGATCGTGACACTACTAAAACACATTGAGCTTGAAGTCTTTTTTGGATATGAGTAGACATTCACCAACCTCGCCTTCTTGTCTTTGTTCCAAAGGCACGCTGTTCCCATGCCTCCACGGCTATCGTTACCATATCGTCTTGGCTAACGGTAATGTGAGACAGCCGCTATTGAAAGGGCACGCTGGTCGCATACATCTTCAGTACCATATATCTATTCTTCCTGAGGAGAACAAAAGTCTCGGTTTCATTTAAATATGGATCTTACCTTAGACTGATGTCAAAATTCCTTAATTTCTTTGCTGTTATTTCATGCAAACACTAAAACCCGAATTTGGGAAAACTGATTTCTAGCTATGTGTTATTGGCCGTGACATGTAAATAATTTGCTTCAGTAGCTAGGCAAAATCACATGAAATGGGTATGTTTAGCTTGTAAACTAGATTGTGGAAAAAACAGAATCAGCCTGATTGAACCGATTGCCTATTTTGTCCTTTAATTACCTTTTTTGCTTAAAGCAACTTCCTTAATTTAAGGCTGTCAAAAATTTAGGTGGAGGCAGATGGAATGCTCACCGTGTAATAACTTTCAATCTTTCCGACCATTGTTCGCCAATTCGCAAAAATCACTTGTGGGATTTTTAGTTTCCGTTCTCCCACCAAATTGCCTGTGGTAGTAATGACAGCTGCTGCAGCTTGCTGGAAGTTAGAAGGACTCCGTACTTACTGCACCGGTACCTCTGTTCGTTTAAACTTATGAAATCTACCATAGGGCGTAAAGCTGACACCTTATAGTTCAGTGTTATGACGATTTTGACCCTCCTTTCTTTGCTTAAATTCATCTGCAGATCTTTAAATGAAACGACTAAGCTTGTCCTTATTTGAAAGTAAATCGTGGAAAATGGGGAAATTTTGCAAATTCTCGAGTCCCAATAGCATGGTTTTACAAGATAACCAATCATATTGTGTACTACTCAGTACTATTTATTATAACTAACGTAGCTCCAGATACTCCTGAATATTACCGACATTAGCGTCTTGAGGGATCGCGAAAGCCGTAGTTAAGTTGTCCCGAAATGAAAGCGGATTTACCATTAATGGAGTCCGGACAGTTAAGCGCATGTTGAAAACTGGGCAGTTGAAAGTGCTTTGAAACAAAGGGCTGGTAGGAATATGCAGCCTTCTACTCAATGTTGCTACGTGCACCACTCATACCTACATTTGATGCCTCTTTTGTCACAGTTAATTTTAAACATTGCAGTAAGTGTTCTCTAGTTAAGAATCCTTTGTTCTTCTTGTCTGATTATATTAACGATACCCATCCATTTTAACCCTTTTAATTGTCTAATTTTCTACTTTTGGCCTATTTAGAGCCCCTTTAGTTGCACTAAACACATTTCTATAATTAAAGCGTGTACAATTAAAGGTTTCCTAATTTCAGACATTCACTTAGCAGTCGAAATACGAATGGTTCTACGAGGCATAAGAATTTGGCTGACATGGTTTCACCCTTGTAGTCGTTGTCATGGGCAGTATTCCGAATTGCTTTCAGGATGTTTGTATGCTGTTAATACGCATATAAGTATCTTGATCGGATAACTGATCAGGCGTACGATTTTTGTCGAAAAATTGCTCCATAGTCACAACTTTATTGTTATGTTAACCTTTGCATTTTTTACATAGGCAGCCTATAATTCAAAGATGGTCTACACCCATGACGACGTACGGGAAATCGTCGAATTTGCACGGGTTCGCGGCATTCGTGTGATTCCGGAATTTGACATACCGGGTGAGGCATTATCACTGTCTTCTTTTCAATCCTTTGACTTTGATTCCTCGAATTGACAAGTACCCCAGGGCTGTAAAATCCAAATTGTCCTTTGGAACCTTCCGTAAAATGTTTTTTTTTTGCAATTGCTTCTAGGTGTAATCAAAGCCCACCTTAAAATTTATCTTGGAAGTCAATTTAATAAAATTGAGTGTATTACTTGGCTAATCATTGCAAAAGTTGGTCAAATGTATTTCATCTATTGGCTCCATCGACTTCTTGAAGTATTTGGAATACTCGTACCGTGATTTTTTAACTCAAACTATCAACAAATGACCACAGCTTCTGCATGTCTACTAGTTTTGTGTGCAAATTCAGCTCTTGACATATTTGATGTCAGGCTGTTTCAGCTACAAGTCGGCCATCCAGCCCAAGTTGTTTCACTGTTATGTTGTCACTGGTTTTTTTACAACAGAGCAGTAAGACTAATCATTTCCAATGCAAGATCCCCCACATCCAATGCATCCCTTTAAACTTTACCAATTTGCTTGTGACACACCGAAATGCCATACATTACCTTCAACTGGTGGAGAACACGCCCCACATTTTTTTGACACTGGGACTCAGATGGAAAAACTGGGCCGTTAAGCATTCTGATGTAATAATTGCCGGATAAGTATTTAAACTAGATCTTTGCGAGCTCCTTACAGCCAGCATTTGTATTGGTGTCAGAGAACTTGTGTCCTAACATGGTAGGTTTGCCTCTTGCTGAATGTTCATTTTTGAGTACTTTGTACTTCTGAGTGAATGCGATAAAAGTGGGAGCGATTTTTGAGGTGAAACCTAGGTTAGGCATTACATTCAAGAATTTAAACATGGATGAAATGACGATGGGGCTGTGCGAGAAAAAAAATATCGCAGGCCTCGACAAGCTTGAAACTGGGTCCGCATTAAATAGTCCAATCGAACTAAAAGATGAACATCCAAAAAGTTGCAGCTTTTCCCTACTCATCGCGGAAATTGTGCCTCCGAAAGGAGAAAGTGACAACTTCTTGTGCTTACTATTAAGGAATGTGTCAATGCTTATGGTAAAATGAAGTTTTCCACGGAATCCACTTTTGTCAATTTCGTCTACTTTTGTAGAGTAAACTCCCTTTTGAGTGTTACAATGCCTACGAAAAACCTTATACATGACATTTGTGCTTATTTGGGTAGTATTTATGTTATTTGAGAAACTGAGCGCATGCCATGGATGCTAGATCTTCCACAAGTTTTATCCCCACATACATTGGAAATGATGAAAACGGCGGCAAAAGTGCTGGGCGATCATGTCCTGATGTGCCTAAAATGTGGGCTGTTTCTGTAGATTGATATAAATGCCCAACTCTGGGATAAAATAGTCCACAAAACTTATGCATTAATTGGAACAAATCAAATAACTTAGTGTTATGTCATGCGCTGAGACGATAGAGAGACCTCCAGAGTGGATGGATAGAATGGGGATTGAGTTTAGCCTCCATTTCAACCGTTTAAATGTATGTATTTCAAAGGATTCAGCAACCCTTATTTTGGTAAGAAAATTAGCCTCATTTCAAGTTCTTGGAATCTCCAATCTGTGCCTTCCAAAAATTGCATTAATAGAAGGATGCTTTTAACAAATTTACTTTTAATCCTTAATAGGTCACACTAGATCGTGGTCACTCTCGCACCCAGAGATCTTTGCAAAGTGCTACGACATGGAGAACGAGTCGCCCTTCTATGGAGGTCTGGATCCGAGCAAAAATGAAACCCTGGAATTTCTTGCGGCCCTTTTCAAGGAAATTGTAGAACTCTTCCCAGATAGCACTCTTCACATGGGTTTCGATGAGGTCGAGTTCAACTGCTGGTTAGTGAGTGTGACAGAAAGGAGCTTTCTTCTAAGCAACAGTTTTGACATCCTTAATTGTCCTTGTAGGTCATCAAATCCCGCTATAAAGAAATTTATGCTGGACAACGGAATGGTTTCTCCGATAGACATTTTTAAGATATTTACCGTGAGGTATGTCATTCAGTCAAGACTTCATTTCCGACTGTATTTCATTTGACAGATCGAAATAGTAGCTTATTCCAACGCTTTTCAGGCTTTTGAATAGAATCCAGGAAGCAGCTAAACGTGTAACATTGACAGGTCAAAGACGATTCATCTTTTGGCAGGAGGTATTTGATAATGGTCTCAAGGTATGCCCCAGTCCTGTTTATTTCCAAAAATACACAACAGTTTTCGAAAAACCTACCGGGAGGGTGTTGATTTGTGTATAGGTGCCCAATAATTCACTAATTCACTTGTGGAAAGATTTGAACTCTATCCCTGGCTACTTTGGATTTCAAGCTATTGTCTCCAAAGGCTGGTACCTCGATTCTTATCTCAAGCCTTCCGAATGGATTGGATACTATGAGAATGAGATCTATCCATGTAAGTTTGTCCCAATGTGTATATTTCTACAAGTACAGCTAAAAAAATATTGAAAATCAGTGTCATAAAGTGCGTCGACAACTGTTATAAACTGGGGTGGCCATTTTATGACCTAGAGTTCCCACGTGCCAGTTTCTTGATCCTATCGAGGCCTTCAACCAGTGATAAGTGATAGATAAAGACATCACAACGGACGTCTTCATTGACCCACGTAATGAGCGCGCAATGTAGGTACGGTCAGTATGTGCATGGTGTATCTGGTGACTATAGGACAGACCCTGTCTGAGAACGGGTCTGCCTTTGAGTTGCCCCTCAGTGCTTTCATTTCCGCGTATGTATAGTAACTAACCTTCGAGTATTTAGAAGGAGTGGTAGAGTACATCCCTCCCGCACAAGGGCCAATCAGGCAGGACTTAGCAATAGCATGGCTCTCTATAATGTTTGGAAACTAGTAATCACTTGGGCCCCCTAAAAAACCCAGCAGAAACATATTTCCAGGGTTGCAGATGCCCCTAGCACAGGAAGTGTAGATCTGGCCGTTTTTAAATTGTAAATCTTTCCACTTTTTCGTAGCATCGCACTTCTATCCCGATGTAAATGCTAATTTTGAACCTAAAAACGTGATCGGTGGAGAGGCTTGCATGTGGATTGAATGGCAGTCGGAAGAAACTGTAATCCAACGAATATGGTAGGTCTATTCTAGAACAGTTGCTACTTAAATGTTATAAGTAGGCCCCGCTTGCCCTTACACGTGTGATTTTTCAGGCCTGTAACCAGTGCAATAGCAGAACGGCTTTGGTACTATAGGACGCCAAACCCGGATGAATTCGGTCCGCGTTTGGAAGAACAGCGTTGTCGCCTTCTTCGGTGAGTTAAAGCCCTCTTTAAATTGGTTAATGTTTGTCTTACTCTCTTGATGATTGGCTGCTTTAACGTAGACCACCTTCCAGCTCCTACTATGGAAAATTTTATTGTTTGTAATCGCTTAATATTGAATCTATTTGTAAGAATAGGAAATGCATCTATTGGGTAACTTCAATCCTGTCATAAATTTCACACACACATTTTAATTGACTTCTTGAAAGATTAGATTAAGTATATTTCTAGTCGATCATCAACAGTCGAGGCATGAGATTACATATACAGCCAAAAATCACGAGGTTTGACACTCCACATTACAGACGCGGCGTTCCGGTGGGCGTTGCCAGCGGTCCCGGTATGTGTCCATTGCCCTCAGGTCCCGACGGCGACATCTCTCCTTTCGATCTCATCAAAATCGGAGCGATTGGCACCATCACCAGCGGCGAATATATCCACCATCTGGAGATACGTAAAATTCTCCTCCTCATCTTCTGCGGCCTGGCACTCTTCACCGCTGGCTACTTCGCAGGACGCCAAGGTCTGGCAGCTCACCTTTCTCGTGTCTTGAAAACGCTCTCCACCAATAACTTTGGTATTACTCGTACCTCTAGACTTGCTCGATTTCGAACATATACATTTAATGCTCTTTTCATCTGTTTCTCGACGTTTATTGCTATTCTGCTTCTCGTCTCAAGTACCCCTCATACCAGTGGGCTAGTGGGTTCGAGTTCCCTTGGTTAGACGTCTGTTTGCCTCTACCAGATTTTCAATTTTTGCGCCACTGGTGGAGAACTGCTTTATTTATCTCCACTACTATTTTTAATTTTGTTACCCCTTGCAGTTGGGATTTACTGCTGAGTTACTTGCCCATAGCATATCTCCTTACCGCCCCATGCTGTCTGCGCCCCTTTGAAATATATGCATGCAAAGAACCTTTTCATCTATCGGTATTGGGATGAGCTAATGGTTATTTGAGCGGGATATTTACTTTATCTCCAGCGCTTGTAGTTACGGGGAGCGCTCGAGACTTCCTACATTACACTGTAAAAGGGACACTGCCTTGATGGCGCTACAGGCACATCTGTTGCGAACCATTCCATGCACCGTTCAAGATGCCGCGCATCAGCATTGATGCATGCACGTACCAGTATGTGGGGTAAAGCTTCTTGTGAACAGGGACTAAAGAATTGAACCCACAGGAGGCGCCAAGAACGGCATTAATGCTGCAAATGACCCAAGCATGATCATGTACACCTAGTCCGTGGATTCAAAGCCGACTGTTAGACAGCAAAGGCTACGAATCTTCCAGTTCGCGAATACCTGGAGGCGCACTCCGGGTACTAAGACCGCTACTCACTCTTGGCAGGCCTGTGGCAGACTATCCTCCGCCGGGACTGCTCTCCATATAGTGACAGTGATGTAATCAGAACTGATGTTGAGAAATGGCGTCTTAATTCCTTTTCCCCCACAAAACCGAAGGTGCCGATTTAAATTAAAAACCTTTCGCGTGTTCTGAGGGAGCTATTAGTCCTTTGCACGCTCATTCGAAGTAGACGTTTGCCTCCTCAGTTTCGCCGAATTTGGATTTAGGATTTGAAACTGCTCTACGGTCTAGTTTCAACAATCACCCATCTGGTTTAGTAATTCTTCGGGAGCTAGGGTAATTTTCGCGTCCCAACCCCTTTTGCATTCCATGATCATTTCAAGATTAGCCACATATCGTAAGTAACGCAGATCAGCCCAACCTACTTGTTAGTCACTAGGCCACCGACAGATATCTATTCAGCCCGACTGGTGAAAAGTAGGGAACGGAAAGATTAAACGCGGCCCTCAAGAATCCTCTTGATGAAAACAACCCACCAAATAATGGACGACAGTTGTCCAGTAGGAGGTCGAGCCATTACATCAATTGGAAATAACCCCCCCCCCCCCTCCAGTGACGCAAACTTCACGAACAATAGGACGGGCGTAGGATGCGACATACTTTGAGATAAACCAACTTGTTAATTGATAGCGTAATCCAGTGCAAGCCGTTCCGTCACGATATCCCGGCAGACTCCACATGGGTAATTTGAATCTTGCTTCGCAATCCTGTATGAGAACCCAACCAACAGACTCCCCTCCTATCTAATCAATTATTCCAGTGAAAATATCAACAAAAATGAGACCTGCAAAGATCGTCAAAGCGAATAAATTTGCTTTAATCCTTGAGTTCATAGATAATGAGTTATTAAGGCCCGTCAGATGGTCTGAGGCACCAATTCCGAACTGATTCTTGGTTGTCAAGATATTCAACCACCGGAAATTCCCAATATTTTCTTATAATACATAAAAACACGACTACCTTAAATTCCAAAGGTAACATTTGCAGGACGACGGCGAGTGTTGTGACCAAAAGTGCTAAGGAACTTTCCGAATAAAAAAACATGCCAAAAACAAGAACAGTGAAATATGCCGCCAGGAGAGTCCATCGCAAAATCTCCTCCTGTGACTACAAATATTGGGAAGATCTGTTATAACGTAATAAAGCTCCCTTCAGATCACAAAAAACAGCGAATGCAATGCAAAGTGACAGTAAAAAACCTCCCACGGAGCTCACCCGCTTTTAACAAAAAAGGCCGTCTTGTTGGTCACTCGGTAGACTCATTCAATTTCCTAATCATAAGTAAAAATCAAGCGACTGTAAACTTCACTCCGAATTATGGACAAGAGAAATGCACAGTCAAATTCCGTCGGATAAAATATGAAAAAAATCCATCTCCGAGGGTTGGTGAAAGGCATACAAACTCAGCAACCGAGCATCATTGGAGACGAGAACGAAGAGAGCATCCCTCAGCGACGGACAACGCCACCATCGCTGAGTTCCTACGTTGATAACTGGAGACCTAAGCTTATTCAGGCAAACAAGCTATGACAGTCTCACGCAAATACAAACCTACTGCTCACTGCATAAGCGAGGGAACATCCAAAACGAATGATCAAAAAAGACCTCCCATCAACTTGTGTAAATCTGCACCCCATCTGAAGGCTAAAAACCATTTAAACAGTTCGATGCAAACGGTTGTCACAAAGACATAAGGTTTTCAATTACCAAAGTAGCTTTAAAAAATCAAATTGTAGGCTTGTTCACTCAACGTTAGAAAGGCCAACAAGCCTCTTAAGCATACATGAAGAGAAACCGGATGCGGGGAAATCAATCTGAACCAAGACTCTATAATGCAACGGCAAAAAGAGGTCGAATTTGAAACACCAAGTAAAAGGCATAAAACAGAAATAACAACACAACAACCGCGTCAAACCAGGGAGAAGAGCAACATCCTAGTACAAATAGACACTTTACTTATGCAATTAATTCGTACGGAAGGGGTTGGAGAGTAACAACTGGCTGGGCACGCGTACGCACAAGATGCGCAGGGCGGGGTCCCACGGGTTCACGCTTAAGGCTGTAATGAACACCTTTCTCCTTCGCCAACTTCCGCTTTTCATCATTTTCCTTCACTCGCTTAAGGAACTCAAGCCGGCACTTGCTGGGGCGAACATGCTCAATGCGCACATTGATGCGCTTAGCAATGATACGATTCCTAAGCGCCATTCAGCTTAAGTGAAAAACATACCCAACGCGCTTATTAACGATCACGCCAACGGCATGCTTGGTAACGTTGAAAACGCGACCCGTCTTCCCATGATAGCTCTTGTGGGGCATACCCTTTTGAACACCACCATCACCAACAATGTCTACGATATCTCCACGCCTGTAGACGCGCATGTAAACGCTCGTGGGCAGGGTTCCATGTTTTCTGAACTTCCTAGCAAACATGTACCGCGTACCGCGGCGATAACCTTTTGTGTTCGTCATCTATTTAGTAAAAAGAAGTGTGAAACGCAAAATCAGCGTGCCCCTACCCTTTGAGGAGTGCGCGAACTATGCCTAGGAAAAATAAAAACAAATGAGTAAATAAAATACTATTGTGAGTTGCTTCCTTTGCAACTATAATTGAGACATTAAAAATGCAAAATCAAAATTTTGTTAATAAATCGTTATAACATTGGCAAGATTATATGTTTTTGTAATAAGTATTGGCGTCGACATTTATTGCACTTTGTCACCGAAATAATTTTACGCTGCCAACCTACACTTTGTAGGTTTAAGTCACTGTGTGTCTTTACTACGTACAAATACTTATAGTCCACATCATAGTAGTCTTTAAAGTAATGTGAATTAAAGCGAAAATTTTTATTAAATGCATGATTTGGCAAGTAAGTATAACCATATAAATTTTTTTGACGAAAGAAGATGAATGGCTTAAGAAGACTACATATTTTAGCATACACTACTGTCATGGTCCATGGGTCGGCTCACCCGGCGAAGGTACAATAGTAAAGCACCTTGATAGTTCTTTTATCAAAACCGAAATCCAAACTAACAGCCAACATCTTGCTTAAGCCATGATTGCATGATGTGTCACGAAGTACTTAACGAGTGCACTTAAAATGGGTTAATAAATATTGGATTTCCGTCTCCGCACCGCACCCTTTCCCTCCGCCCCAAAAGAGCCTGTACACAATGATATGCAAAGCCCGTGTAAAAGCTGTAGTATTTGCGATTTATTTAGTTTACTGTCAGGCTTTAACGTCACAAAATGACTGCTTTATATGAAAACAACTGCTACAACGGGAGGGTCCAGGTGGCAGGATTGTTAGGCCCCACTCAATGCTGGCATTTATGTAATACGATAGTGGTTTATCCCTCGGTACTGGTGAGGCGCCGCTTTTGTACCTTGAATTAGCCTTTTTGTACCTCGCTGGGTGGGCTGGCCTTTTGAACCATGCCAATAGCCCACGCACCTTCTCTGCGCTGAATATATATTCTGCCCGAGTATGGTGTCTTCTTTCGCCTTCAGGGAGTCTCCGGATGCTACATTTATACAAACTGCATTTTTCTAAAAATCGAAAAAAATTAGCCTAATTACTACGACAAAATGGGTAATCATAATATATGAGCCTGGCTACGGTACAGTACGATGGGATATAAATAGCGCGAGGAACTTTAGCTCTTATCTAGATTTCAGTGAATATCATAAGAACTCTAAAAAAATATTTTTTGTAAGGAACAAAAATTATTATTTTTTTGGTCCATTTTGATCCTCCGTTTATTGAGTAATGGATTTGTTCATCGAGATGCGGCATTTGACATATGAAATGCACAATTTGCTAGAAGTGGACTGCTAATAGGAGGCAAAAATCAGCCGGAAACCTTTTTTAATGTAGATTACAAGGAAGGACGAACCGCAAATTGCAAAAAACAACTATAAATCGTTGCCGAACTGGATGGCTAATGATTCATTCCTGCCTCATTATTTCATGACTGCAATAGTCAGTCTGTTATTGGTTCTAAAGTCCAAGTGACTATCTACAAAGGGCGCCAAAGGTGTCACGCACCGCAGTAATTACCCATTTTTGAAGTGCTCATATGAATTCGCAGAATCTTTTGTTATGTCATACCATATAAGTGTGGCGACCGAGACTCCCTGAAGACGAAAGAAGCCAAAATACCTAAGCAAAACATAGATGCGGCGCAGAGAAGGGGTTTGGGCTATTGGGATGGCCCGAATGGCCAGCCCACCCAGCGAGGTACAGGAGGGCTAATTCAAAGTACAAAAGTAGCGCCTCACCAATACCAAGAGCTAGATCACCATTGTTTCACATAAGGCTTAATGGTAATGTCTATACTGTCCTCCTATCACCTTATGCCAATCATAATCCCTTATTAATACTGGATGGCAATATTAAGGATTTATGAGGCTAAAAAGTGTATAAGCGTTCTTAAATGTACTAAAGGGTGTGCTTTAGACCCAACAAAAAATGTTTCAAATTTCGCAAATAGATTCTGACGATTGGTGGTCAAAGTGAATGAGCTAGATTCTAGGGTAACACCAATATCATTAAAAACACTAACAGCACGTTCAAGATGATACAGTGTATATAAAGGTTTTGAATCATTGTGCCTATCTATTATTAGCTGAACTAAATGCCTTTTTCAGCCTAATACTTTCTCGTTAAATAAAAAGTTGTAAGGCACAAAAATTGTTTTAATTATCCAAATTCCAACAGTGCGACTTACTTCTTCAGGTTCCTTCGAGGGATGTCTGCGACTGACCAGGTTCGGAGTCTCCTGGATGAGCTGATGGGAGCCGCCAGAGATGGTAAGAATTAACTAGATACGCTATTTTTTGCTAAATCTGCCCTTCTTTCATTAAATATGTGAGGGTTCATGCTAAGTGGAACTAAGGCAAGGCGTAGAATTCATCGACTGTTATCATTCTCTTACTTTTAAGGTGATGCCATGAAAGTTGTTATTCGGTTGACTTCCAAGTCATGTAAGTAAATGCCGACTAGGGTGTGAAAGTAAATTTCTGCCTGTTTTCTTAACCTTTCCTTAATTCAACCCGGTAAACAGGAGGCGAGAAACATATTGAATTCGACGATCCTCGGGTTTGTAAGAGCTTCCTCCTCGACTGCTGTCCACACGAGATTTTGGCGGGAACAGTACGTCATCATTTTGCCCCTTAACCTCAAGTCTAGAGAATGGATCTGGGCGAATGCCCCTACTCCCACGAAGTCGGGCTCAAATCGGATTATCGTCGGGAAGCTGCAAAAAGGCCCTACTACTACGAGATAGACGTGAGTTAGTTTTCATTCCCCAAACATTTTTACAGGCTTTGCGACACCTAGAGGCTTTTATCGCCGAGAGCAACCGTCGAACTGAGCACGCCAAAGCTAAATTAAAGGAGACACAGGAGGAGTTGACCGAAGAGGCTGCTGTGCAGGTTGAGAAAATCAACAAACTCAGTGAGGAGATTGGTACAACGTTGGCAAAGGCGGAGCAAAAGGGACATGAAGGTCATGTGGAAGAGTCTCTCGAGCTGATGAAACGCGTGGAAGAATTAAACGCCGAAAAGGCCAAACACGAGGCGGATTTAAGGAACGCCATCCCGGTCAGCACCTATCAGCAGCAGAAACTGCGTGTTTGTGACGTCTGCTCAGCGTACCTCGGTGTACATGACAATGATAGACGTCTGGCGGATCATTTTGGTGGCAAGTTGCATCTGGGCTTTATAACAATCCGAGAGAAACTAGAGGCGTTGAGGAAGTACGTGGAGGAGAACGATTTGGTTCGAAAGCAGCGTGAAGATGCCTCGTTACCACGAAGGGAACCGAGGCGAGACAGTCGAGATAGAGAGAGGGAGCGAGACCGTAGTCGAGATTGGGATCGCGATAGAGAGCGAAGCCGGGAGCGCAGGCGACGACGCAGCCGCTCCAGAAGCCACTCCCGCAGCCGTCGACACGATAGACATCATAGATCTAATGGTAGTAGGCGCCACCGGGATGATAGTCGGGAGAGAAGACATCGGCAAAAGAGTTCGCGGGCTTATGACGATTAGGTGCTGTCATTGGTGTGGGTGTTTGTGGCACTTTTTGAGTAATTGTTTCTCTGTACATAAACACCGATATCGATTTATATGTAATTTATATTGAATCAATACAAGTGCCATTGTTTTTTCCTTTTCTGAGTTGGTGTTATCGTAGTTTCGTCATATATTTTTTCTCTATGTATTTGCGCACTTAGTTTGACTTATTGTTTTTTTTTCTTTCTGGGTCGTGTTTGTTGCTTTGCATGAACTCGCAGAGGTTGTTTCTGCTGCGGAATCTAGATGAATGGATAAGCACCACTTGGTCTATTTAACAGGAATAGCTGTGCAGTGTAGTGTAAGTCCACTGGTTACGCTACCAGGCTTTCCGCCGCACCTTCCTTGCAAGAATGACTATTTTAAGCTAGGGGAATATTGTTTCCTTGTTAAGCATAAGCACTGCTCAGTGCTCCCTAGTTCCTTTTTCCACGATCTTACTTAGTGCTCCAACGCCTCTTGGACATATCCACTCTATCAATTCTTTGGACTCATGTTTTGAAGGGAGCAGACTCCTGTCCACCTATTTTAAGGTATTTACTGATTGTCAAAAATAGATAGCAAAAGCTAGACTATCATCTTCTGGTAAATTGGGCTAATCTGGGTCCTTTTTTTTCCGGTGCCACCTACAAGATGGGATTTTTCAACGCTGCTGTATCCTTTGCCCGTGCTATTGCGCGGCGTTCCAGCAGATCGTGAGGGATCCGCGAAAAAACAGAAATTTTGAAAGGTTCTTGTCTTAGCTTGAGGGTCGTTCCAGGCTCCCTCACTTAACATTCTTTGGCCCCTACAATGGTGGTCAATCCTTATGATCATTTACGAGGTAGACGGTTTCGGTGAAAATACGCAACAGTAAGAGAAAAATATTTTTTCGGGTTCCATTTATTGTTGCGTTATTCGGACTTTAAAAACAAAAATGTTTGAATTCAAGGTACCATTATACGATGCATGCATTCGAATCCATTTAGAGCGTTCCCGAGAAAGCAAATCTCCTTTTTAGACTTGGGTGTTTCCGGGCCTCCTGAAATTTTGTCAAAACGGGCGCTGGAGATGGCAATTTCCAACAACACGTGATCTCACAAAGACACGACCGATAGCGAATTTCTATGGGATGGATTTTGATACAGCTCGCCGACTTGATTTGTTATATCTTGTGCCAACTTGTTTGATGCAAATGCGCGAGAATAGTTTTGCTTCATAACTCCTGCATGAGCCAGTTCAGTACTCCCTACTCTTTACTCACGTCGAGGGCTGATGTACAGCCGGTAGTTGTGACTCCATCTTGCCTTCTTTACGAATTTCAATTCACCTCCCAAGCGCCACGAATCTCTCACGGGAGAAGGCGCGGCATGTGGCAGTAGGAGGAGGTGTTCACTCAATTCGGTACGCATACGATTGACTCTGGTGATGGATCACTTGGCGATGAATGCTCTCCATTCAGGAAGAGCCTCCATTCGTAGTGGCGATGACGACTCACGCATCACCACTGCTTAAGTTGCCATGCGAAACTAACGTGTCCACATGAAGGTGTATTTGACGTGAGTGATGAGGCACTTTGTTCGTGTACCCACATCAACTGGGGAGGGAAGTCGTGGTAGAACATACAAAGCAAATTAGTCCTACACACATGCTGTGCATTTACAGATGTTAGCAAACTGCAAGACAGCGCATTATTGTCTTCAGTGAATAAGGCATACTAAGCAGTTTATTCCATATGCTACACAAAACCGCACGAACATGTTTGGTTAAGGTAAAAGTGTTCTCGCCTTGAAAAACACCTCTAAGTAAAGCAGTAGAAATTGCATCTGCTTTATACAAAATAGCAAATTAGTGTAACGATACAAAGGGCATTCAGTGTAAATCGCGCCACACATGCAGCGTCAAAATCTCCACGATAAGCTTCAACACCGACATTAGTTGAGTGCGGTAGAGGTTTGAAGCCATCGCATTGGTGGATGAGGTGGCAGTCGCCGAACAACCGGAGGAAGACGCTATTGCAGATCCTGAGAGGTTACGCACGGAAGCCTCAATGCTGTCGGCGCTACGGAACACAGCTCGCATGGTGAAGTCCTAGAAGATATGAAAGGTTGGCAAATAAGGCCTCTAGCCCTCACCAAGAACTTACACATAACTTCCAAGAAGGTTCAACCTCTGTTAAGGCCTCGGTAAGTGGAACACCTTCCACGGGTTGTTTCATGGGCGACAGTATGGTCCGCAAAAAGGAAGAGAATTTGGAAATAGCTGATGGCGATTGTTCCACTTTAGTCTCCCAAGAAAGTCTCGAGAAATGCCTCTGGGTCTGTTGAGCTGATCCATGCTCGCATCGCCAGGAAATATGAATAAGGCCTTCACGGAAGGAGGGATCGATAACCACTAGATGCGTCCGCCCACTACTCGATTCATTTGCTTCGTTGAACAAAAAAGCAACTGTCTTTCCACCACTGGAATTGAGATGATTCACCACAGAGGAGGCTAAGTGTTCTCCACTAATGTTTAGCAAATCCAAAATCCTCGGGTCCATTCGAAGGAGGTCAACCTTCAGAGGTGCCGAATTGATAAGATCCCGGAACTCTTCACACGACAGTCCACGATGCGTGACCTCGGAGAAAAGGAGGGATACAGCCTCCTGACCGATTTCATCTACTTCTTCGGCACTCGACGGAGATGGTGTTGGTGGAAGGGTAGATGCAGGAATAAGAGGGAAGTACTGGGCGTCGAAGAGACGATACCACAGAAGGTTCTTGTGGCAACTAAGAATGGCTGAGTTGATAACATGGGGCATGCTGAGATACAAAGTGTGGTGCACTAGTTTCAGCGCGCGTCGGAGCTCAATTTGGTGCGAGGGCCAAACACCTAAGTAGGAGATCTTCCAGCGAAGGCCGGGATCGTGTTGAAGGGTTGTCACTTCCCCTGAGACTGTTCGAGACATGGTGCTTCGACCTCTGCCATGGGTGGTGCCGACGGTCGATTCACCAAGAGCAAAGACATTCAAAGAAGTGTGTCGACAGCGTTGACCGCTGGCCAACGACAGTGGGAGTGCTGAAGACGAGTCGCCTGGGGTAAAGCGAACCAACAATGAACAGTCAAATGTAATTTTGGGGCCTTAGAGCCATCATTGAGCATGAGGCACTGTAAGAGACTCATTAAAAGACAACGACACTGGGAAATAGAGGGGTCGGTCGGAATATACTGCTAGAGACGTTCTTTCCACATTTAAGCGACAATTTAGTCCTCAATGAAATTGTATAGCGATTGAGAGAAATACATCCAAGGGAAGTTGTGTTTTTACATTACAGTCCCAACACATGCCCCTAAGGTTGTAATTATCAGACCGAAAAATGAGCGATCGAGGGCAGTTTGGAGGCAACAAAAGAATAAAATGTATATCCATGGGGTGCACTTCAGTGATCAACTAACCAGCAAGAATTGGAGTAGTTTCCTGACTGCCTGAACGCACAAGTTTTGGCGAGAGAGTGTTTAGATCCCTGTCCGAACTCAAACCTGGTCGAATTGCGGGCCATTCGACGGGCGTTTGGTGCTACAGGAGAGGGAACGCATTTTAAGCGCAAGAGTACGCATCGCACTGACGGCTGAAAACCAACTCAGAACCAAAATAATGAAACAAAGTGGAAGTGTAACTACTAACTTCGATTAGGCTATCGTAAGCAGCGTAAAAACCGTTTCAATGAGTTACATTTTTGACTGACCTAGCCGATTAAAAGGGTAATAGGAGGATATGTATTACTGAGCAATCCGGGATTATGAAGAGTTGTGATTGAGGAAACCGCATTAAAAAGTTTGCATTCTTTATTATCAAATATGGATAAGGGCCTAAAAAACAAATCTGCAGAGGTAGCAGTATGCTTAGCAGAATGTGGCAGATCTGTCCTACCTAGTGAAAATGCGGGTACGAGGTCGTTTACTGGATTTATTATTGGCCAGAGGGAAATTCCCCCATAATTGAGTCACGCAGAGTTACGGAATGGTTTCATGAAAGGCAATAAAGTTGAAGCCCTGACTGTCACAATGTACAACCTGCCGATTTATCTTTTACGGGTAATTCGGAGTTAACACATGATCCACACGACAGAGCGCATTGTGTTTGGCAGTTATACAAACTCGGTATCTACTCTAAATACCTCACCTAATCGAAATACCGAATGAGGTAAAAAATCAGGAAAATGGGACAATGAAATCAAATTGAAGGTAATCAACTACATAAACGTTAGAACGGAGCCTTGGGAGTGCCAAGATCTACCTCATCTCGACAGTGAGAACAGTATAAACAATTCAATGCTACCACTCCAACTACGTACTATTTGATGAATACAGGATCCTAATCATGACTAATCGGAAAGTAGCAGACATTTTCAAGACATGGTAGAGTTGATTCCACTACTCAGAATCCAGCGTTACTTTGCAAGAGATTGTTTCAACTCTCACACCTCATATTCACAACTATGACAACGAGTAAAGGAAGTAAATCTACACTATGAAAAAGAATCGGGAAACAATGGAAAAATAAAAAATAAGCTGTACTTCCCACACAGTTGCATGACAATGTATTTTATTGGTCAACGAATGATCGGTCAACAGAAAACTGTTGCAAAAGGAGGAACAATCAGTCCAGATAGAAATCGACAAGCATGAACAAAACCAATCGAAATTTATCAGTCTTGACGAACAAAAAGAACTTATGACAAATACCCAAAAAACTACTCCAATTAATAACTCTCATGAGAAAATTCCGAATGTGTAGCAGCATTCTACTAAGCATAGTACAGTACAAGGATTAAGACAGCATGCAACACACCGAGGAAACAAGATTATGAGAAAAAATTGTGAATATGATTAGGAGGGAAACGTTTTTAGACTCACGGAGCTATAGAATCGCCTACGAACTACCTTTATGAAAGACAATATATATATTATCTGGATTAAAAGCAGTGCATAAAAGAAATTTATTTTGGTCGATCAATAATAATTGGATGGTAGCCAACCAATTAAAAAGCAGGAATGTGACTAATTAAAAAGCACGGATGGAGCAGTTCTGCCAAGTTCTAACAGAAGAGCAGCAAAAGGTACGAAACGGTGTTCGAGTGAAAAGTTTACAAAAATTAGACTTACTGGTTCCTTGGGTTCCTTAAATTCTCTCTTTGTTTGGTGAATAAAAACGAAAAAAAAAGATAAAACAAAACCGACGCTCATTCCACCGATCTACTTTAAAGTAGCTAAGTAATTAGCAAGCTCAAATTAGCCGAACACACAAGGCCGCATTACTACATGAGGCATTGAAAAATATTCCAGAAAAAGATCCAGCGCATTGTGAAATAGCCGCCTACTTTCGCAACGCAGTTCCAAAGCCAAAACGCCTACTTGAGGTACGCCTTTGCCACTTGCTTAGGAATCTACTTTTGTGCATTAACAAATGATAATTGGGGAATGGGTAGGTTCAACATCAACACCCAACCAATCAAATACCGATTTAACACAGGCAATCGCAGCTATCGGATAACCAAAAGGGTTTGCGTGGTATCCAATGTATTTCGCTGCATTGACTTGTCGTAACTTCTGCCGACTTGCATAATGCATTATGCACCAGGCCGCCAGTGCAGTACTCCCTACTCTTTACTCACGTCGAGGGCTGATGTGCAGCCGGTAGTTGTGACTCCATCTTGCCTTCTTTACGAATTTCAATTCACCTCCCAAGCGCCACGAATCTCTCACGGGAGAAGGCGCGGCATGTGGCAGTAGGAGGAGGTGTTCACTCAATTCGGTACGCATACGATTGACTCTGGTGATGGATCACTTGGCGATGAATGCTCTCCATTCAGGAAGAGCCTCCATTCGTAGTGGCGATGACGACTCACGCATCACCACTGCTTAAGTTGCCATGCGAAACTAACGTGTCCACATGAAGGTGTATTTGACGTGAGTGATGAGGCACTTTGTTCGTGTACCCACATCAACTGGGGAGGGAAGTCGTGGTGGAAAATGCGAAGCAAATGACTTATTAACGGATGATAGTGAATTATACAAACATGCTGCTCATCTTAAACTAAGTCTGTCCGTTCAGTGATGAAAAGTAGCCTCTAGGTTCCAACTTCTGCTACTCTCATTGTGCACGCTTCCAAGGCATTCACCGCTCCGACCTCATGAGACTACGTTGGCTTTGGATGTGTGTATGCAGTGGACTGCTGATGCAACCGCCTACCAGAAATGGGTCACTTGGAGAGAGCCAGCGGACCAAGGAAAGCGTCTTCTTGGAAAACACTGAAGATTAGTCGATTAGTTGGAATCGAAGCAACACTCTATGCCTCAAACTACCCTAAAACTCTCTGACCTAGGGGATAGAAGACGAGAAGGAAATCCTTGACCTCACCATTGTTCTCCGTATTTTTCGGATGATATTTTGTGTGTCTACCACCCATTCCTGACAATGACATGTGAAATATAAAAGATAGATATGAGGTAAAGGCAGTACAGAAGCGGTGGCTAAGACTAGGCTCCTACTTTTAGAGAAAATTTTTTAAACAAGTAGATTTCGAAGCAACTTTGTCACGTCGGGAAAGGAATGAACTATAGATTATAGTAGTAAATTATTTTAACGAGCAAAGTATTCGTAGAAGCCTTCTGCAAGTCAACTTCTATCATTCGCAGTCGCACAAACTAATTTAAAATCAGTTTTAAAGTATATTCGTTTCCTCGGTCCTGACCATAGCCGAATGGGCGTATGGACGCTCTGCATTTATTACATTATTTTGGCTACTTTGACTCGCTTTATTTTATTCACACACCATTCCATGGGATGGAATTTTGTAGAAACGCGGACTCACGTTAACAATGCAATTTATGCCTACAATTTTGAAGCCTAGTTGACGCTTAAGCTGTTCATCCATTAACCCTACAGGACGACGATTGCCCTAAACTGCGAGGACAGTCAACTTGTCGGGGAACAGTAGTCACACGTCACGCAAAATAGGAACATTTGAGGGGTCATTGTATTATTAAGGTTCTGGACATGACATCTTTAACCTTAGCCTCGAAATGAAGCAGCTATGCTGGGAGAGAGAGAGAGAGAGCTCCTGGCTTATGCGAGTCACTTAAAAAAGTTAGTAATGCTTAAAAGACAAGGTCTCAGGGCATGCATCATTGTCTTGCTACCAGAGTTGCCACTTTGTGGAACCTTGATGAACACACATAAATGGGAGAACAACTCCAAATTTCTTGCCAATCAAAAATACCGCGGCGTGGCAGCTTTTGTCCAGCATCATTAACTACTCTAAAATATCACAAATTCATAACTGATCATAGTGGTAAATATTAACAATAGCTAATCTTAACAATGTGCCATTATCGGCAAAGATATGCTTTACGACTTACATTGTCTTCGGGAGTTTCCTCTACCTATTTAATGTAAAGCAGAAAAGAAATAAAGAAAATGAAAAGTTGTGCCTATAAAAAATCTAGTTAACTAGATCTCTCGAATGAAGTTGGGTTATTTTAGTATTTGTGGTCAAATTTGTACGCAGAAGAAGGCAATAAAAATAACGAGTGAACGAAAGAAAGGAGAAAATGATTTCATGGATTAGGAAAACATGATATTTAGCATTCAAAAAGTCAACGAAAAAACAGCACACTCCGCTTTCACGGGTAAAATAAGACATACTTTCTATAGTCACTCACATTTGCCGCTAGAATCCACTTTATAGTCAAATTGATCTTTATTTTTCAACTTTGACACAATTAATCACTAATTTTATTGAAGTTTTTCAATCCAATTTACCCCCTTTTTAAACAAGTATGTCGCATATTTGTGACACACGGACGCAAATAAAAATACGTGTGGTCATAGTATCCAATGCATCAGGTTAGCTGTTTCGGCTTTTTTGACAGCCGTTATTGTGTTCAACTATCTTTTTGGTATTTCACGGTGAGTCGCTTGCCTACAGAGCAGTGCAGACAGCTGAAGTTATCAACGAGCCAAGAGCTTGGCTACTAAAAGTAATCTAGTTGGTAACTTGAGAAACTTCTTTCTAGTGGGGTATTTAAGCTTAAAAATGAGCCTTGGTACGAGGGGGACGTCAGTTGAAACCAAGGTAGAGGGTAATAATGAGATGAGTTAGAAACTCAGTTGCTGACCACCTCACCCCCAATGTCAGAAAGTAGCATCACTCTTAAGAAGAAAAATTCAAAGTTCAAATAGCTCTGGAAGCCATCACCAAGCAATTCCCTCGACCTTTCAGTAAAGGGGATATCAGATCCAGAACAATGCACACGCAGTCTGGCAAAGTGGTAGCACACGAAGGAGGTCGATTCACGGGAGGTGGGGATACGCGCGATCCAAATGACGGACAACATTCCATTACCTAATTTTAGCGTCTCTATGATGATTTCTTGCCAAAAACAGAAAGTTAGGAAATAGGATCATTGCACCCTCGCTTTAGCCGCGAGACATAAAGGAAGAACGATTATGGTTCCGACAGATCTCAACACTATCATTGCAGATTGGTCATCATTGAAATTTGCACCGATTCACCGCTCACCTCGAATCTCATAAATTTCATCAACAAGGTGACCTCCATTCATAAAAACAGCCTATTTTAGGCAGTGATAAGCTCCAATCAAGTAGGCTTCTGCCCAAAGTAGAGAGCACAAGCTCCTAAAAACTGAGACATTTCAAGAACTCAAGAATCTTCTCCGCCACAACCCCGGAAGGTTGGTTGCTTAAAAACCCACGCCCACCTCAGCAGACAGCCCATGCGGCAGGGAAGACAGTCGCGCCCGTGGAAACCTTCGACATTGATCAGTGAGAATAACAAATACTGAGATGCCGATGCGTTGAGGCGTAGTCGAGGACCCCGCGACTTCGGTCGACGTTGATGATACCTCTGCCTCTTTGTCGAGATAGGCTGCGCAAGCCAGAGAGAAGTGCTTCAGACAGGGTAATCGAAGCTGCGGAAAGAACCGTGGAGTGGAGGCTGAAGCAGAAGTAGAATGCGGTGGACGAGAATAACTGCGGTGGTAAGGGCGCTGTGGAGGAGTAAGTGGGGCCACTCCCCCCATCACCGCCTCCGTCGGTGCAACTAATTTTAGGGCTTCCACGATTCCCATTTCTGAGTCGGAGGTGGAAGAGGTAGAAGTATCATTGTCACCACCAGCAGGATGAACGGAAAGCGATTGAGCGGCATCGTCCGAGGTGACGGTTGAGGGGCAGCGGGGGGAGGAGAAACTGCAGAACCCGAAGCGTGCGTGCGTCGGCAGACTCGAGTTGATGCCCAGATCGAAGGCCTATTGGACAAAGAGAGCAAATTCGTCTGGTAATACTGATAAGCTTCCTATTTTGAGGAATTATTTCAAATCTCTCGCGATATGGTCTTTGCCTGTACCATCAACTGCCTAGCATTTCTGAATGTTAATAATGAAGCCATTTCCAGACATGCAAGCCTTATAGCGCCCTCAAAAGTAGCTCTGGCTCACGATTCTGATGTCATAAATTGGAAAATATGCAGTTCATACCAGGAAACCATAAGTGGTGAGTACGTTAAATGCCAGAGACGCATGAGTCTTTTAAAAACACAGCAACTACCAGCAATCATGCCAATATCTCATGCTTATGATGTGTCATACGACACCAGAATAGAACCTTTTAAAAGCCAAGGCCTACAACAATAACCGCCTAAAACCTCCACATGAGTTGTAGACAACACTGAAATGGGAACAGAGCGGGGAAGATTAATAGGCGTTGGGCCTTAATCCTGTACACTCTTGCGTACATTTGATTAAAAAGTTCCATTTTTGAGCCATACCTCCCCAAAAAAGTGAATAGTACATCCAGTGCGCTTCAAGTTACGACGACTGATGTAGAAGAGTGTGCACTAGGAGCACTGAGGCTGATACCCAAATCTAGATGTGCGCAAAAGGATGCAACAATACACAAGTCTTTAGATTAGATCTCAAAATGACTGGCAAGAACTCCTCCTCATCCTATCTATGCCAATGGTCGCACTGTCATTTTGGACTTGTGTGCATCATGCCATCTAAAGTTACAGCCGAATCACTACCAACATTACAAAGTTATTTAAGATTAAATATTTTTGTTCACCTTAAAACCGTAGGCCTGTCTTGCCTCAATGAGGTGTTCAAACACCTGTTTGGGCTTGATTCTCGCATCCACAGGAAGGTACATGGGTAGACGTGTAAAGGTTCCACGTGCAAAAACTGGCGCCAGCGGGATAATGCGAGCAAGGTCACGAAGAAAACTCACAACCGGGTAGTTGGCGGGCAAGAAGGGGTGTCGTGAAGCCCCAAAACTACCTCCACCCCTGCGTCGCTGAGCTTTTGATATCTGGGGCAAAGCCCACGTCAAATTGGGCACTTGCAGTCTTTGGCCAATAAGGTCCGATTGAACTGAAATAATCATTGTTACTTATTGATAGTCAGCAAATAGGCTAGCCAGTTATCTATGAAACATACGCCTCAAGAAGGAATCCACATTCCTAAGGTAGAAGTCATATAGGAAGGAATGAAGATGCACACAGTCACAAAGACGACTCGATTCCTCCCACTTGACCACATAGGAGCTGCTAGCAATAGATGATGAACCTGATGCTGAAACAGCAGCATTGACGGTTGTTGTGTTGCTTCCACTGCCACCAGAAGTCATGGAAAATGGATCAATCATAGCGGAGGCGATTTTCACAGCAGCCACCGCCGCCGCCCGACCAACCAAATCCACCGCCAGTGGGCCTGTCAACACCGCTCGGGAGGCGGCGCGAGTCAGCCGACATAGCTCAATCGCCTTCAGGCGCACGCAGAAGATACAATCGCGAATAAAAATCTAGTAAAAAAAATTATCCAAAAATGCACTTGGCGGTGGGTTGATAATAAAGATCAAAACAAACTCCTGACAGTTTTATTTCGAAAAAAAATATAAGGGTACACAGGCAACCAAGTGTAGATAGGTACGAAAACCTCACCTCTACCAGATGGATACCGGCCACTTTAACGGACCGTTGAAGGAGAGCGTACGGATGATCCAACTTCGGGGACTCAGAGTCCAAAGTGGAGAGGATGACAGTAAAGTGCATCTGGTGAGTCATGTAGGTCATAAACTCCTGTAGAAGACAATCTTTTGCCTCTTGCATCCAAGAGGGTGAATCCCGTACAACACTAGGTGTCACGAGGAGGGGGTATGTAAGACCACGACGTTGTTGGACTGCTGTTTTAGGCGGTGGTGAGGATTGTACGGCACCCTCCAATGGTGCGCTAAAAGGGAGTTGGCGTTGAATATAGAAAAGCCCCATTGAGATAATAAACTAGGATCAGAATCCATTCAAGAAAACCTGACTTTAAGCTTTCCTCTCTTTGAGGCTTATTGATAACACCATTAGTTTTAAAATTCACTCAATGTGTAGTCAGCGTAAACCACAAAACTAGGATTTGGTGTGATTCGTAAGTTGTCTTCTCTTTGCGATGTAATATGTGAGCGTTTGAGGTTGTGATCTTCCCAGCGAGACGCAAAATCCGCATTCACCCCACAACCTATTCAGTGGTTACTCCTGCATATTTTAAGACGCAGTTTTAGGATTATCCATTCCTTATTTTCGTGTATTCCCCCTAAATCTAAAAAATTAAATGTACGTGATTAAAACAAGACTGGTTCACATCAAACTATGTCCTTCCATTAGGAAAGAAAGCCAACCACTTTGAACAACTCAATAAGGTCAGCAATAGGTAAAAATTGACGAAATGTTTGGAATTTCAGAGTTTTGATTAATGTAGCAAAATGAAAATCAATCAAAATCGCACAGACCTTGACTTTCCTTCCATGACGAAGGTCTCATTGTGTCCCCTCCTTTCCTCCTTCCCAATATTCTTTTGATGCTCTTCCCCCTTTGCTAGATTACGATAGCCCTCCTCTTCTGCAATCTGTTCCAGTTCCCGCAGTTGCAAAGCATCAATTCGGGCACTCGGACAAAAAAGGAAGGGTGAACAGACAGTGTGAAGGGTCCGACCATACCGTTTCGCGGCCGAGTAGAAGGCTGTTAGTGGGGGCGTCGTCAACGGGGGTAGGGATGGTAACACTTGACTCTGGGAATCCATGGGAGTGTACTGTTCCAAGATAAAAGATTCACCAGCCATCCAGGCCTTCAAAGGCGTTGTAATGAGACGCAACTGTTCTGCACGGCGCCAATCGTTCTTGACCACCCGTAAGGCCTGATCCACGTGAAGGTGTACCACATCGAGATACTCCACTCCAGTCGCCGATGTATTGCCAAGAGCTGCAACTTGGGCGCAGTTCTGTGGGGGAAACCAATGAACTAGAGCACCAAATCTTGCAAGTACGACTCTCGCATTTCCTCAGAAGGGTCACCTGGTAAATCCTTGTAAGATTTAGATCTCGTGAATCCCGTAAAATTTCCCCGCCAACTCTAAGATGCTGCTGAAGGTATAAAGGTTGGGGCTGGACAAGATGGAGGAGCGTAGATTCAGTACTCGGGGTAGCGGGTGAAGTAGAATGAGTTGAGATACCTGCCGAGGCGTTCGACGGAGGAGCAGATGGTGTCGGCGGTTGAGGCGGCGTCAGAGGCTCTGCAGACGACGTAACTTGTGAAGGTGACGCAACTGTTTGCGATGGAGGTTGAAGAGGAGCCCCACTACCAACCAAACCTTCCAGGAGGCGCCGGCGAATACTTCGGGATGCCGTACTAGCAGACGGCGCTGATACTACAGTCGAAGTAGAAGGTGTCAGTTCTGGAGGGCAGAGGTGATCACTCAGATGAACGGCCTGTTTCAACAATCGGAGGTGGCTAGGTGTGCGAAGACAGTGAAAAAGACCTGTTTTCTGCAGGGACAGGCAGCTTAACAGCTGAAATGTAGAAAGGAATAAAGCACCTATTTACCAATAGTGATTTAACTAGGAGTTAAATGAAGTGACATCTTCGTGCCTGGAATCGTTGGTTGTACCAAGCGACAAGACAGTCGACGCGTTGCAATAGACGGTCGGCATCATCTCGACTCCAATTGTAGAGGTAGATACGAACCTCACGACCTCGAAGATGAATTAGACATAAAGTCTGTCGTGGCACTTGTAGACAGGCACAGGGACCTGAAGTGCCACCATCTCCAGCGATGGTAGCTGTAGTAGTGGAGACAGATCCCTCGACTATTGGTGATGTCGATGGTTTTGATGAATGGAAAAGGAACTGAGGGAGACAGAACTGCATCTCACAGAACTCTGGAACGTCTGAGACTGTGGTGGAGGAGACTGAAGCTGTAAGGGAGAAGTGATGAGAGGGTAAAAACTTATCTCCACGGCCGTATTTTGTTTTAGGATGAATTCTTCCAAATTACGTGTTGGGGTAGGCTTCACAATGCATGTACATCAGTGTCGCTGATGATGCATAAATAATTTCAATACTGCATCATAAAATATGCCAGAGTGACAACTGACTAGGCTCTGATGTAGAGAAATGTGGATTTTGCGTCTCTCTCGGACCTGATCTACAGTGTCTTTAGCTAAATCGGGTATGTACCAGATAATTGTCTGAGTTGTTGGTGGAAGACTACAGCCTTGAACGCTCATCCATCTGTTCCTAACTGGAATAATTATATTGCCAAGAGAAGACACAACAAACGAATTGCACCAAATTTAGTGTGACAAGATCCAGTTAAGTAGTTCTGTGATTCACACCGGTGTTTATGACACCTCGTGACTAGAAATCATGCAGAACTCAAAAATGACGATGATATCTCGGTAGTTTAGAGCCGAAGAAAGTGTAAAATAAGACCTCTTTAACTGGATTTAGGGTTCAAAACGCCAATTCCACCCCATAAGACGTAAGTATAATCAGCCTAAAATCAATGTTATAAAATCAAACTGTGTGAACTTACGTAAATTGACCAGAGTGGATGATGAAGTGTCAAAAGAAGTGTCCTCTAGGGTCGTCATCGATTCCATAGATACTTCAGTCGGGAGGGGTTGCATCTGAAGCTCTAAAGTCTGATGCCGTTGAATTGGAACGCGACCAGACCACGAAGAAACTGCGTCAAAGAGGGTAGAGTTTTTGTTATCATTCTAGCCATCCAAAAGATATTTAGAGAATATTGGCGGCGTTTCTTAACATCCATATTCTAAAAGCCCTATTCAGACTAAATTCGATCGGACCTTAGAGGATTCCTTTGAACTATGAGAAATGGGTCAATAATAAGATCACCAAAAACTTCTGCATAATCGCAATATCAAGTGGATATTGCCCACTGCTGCTTAATAGTTGCAGGAGTCAGCACTTCAACAAAGACTACAAAATAAAGTCCACCTTAGGGTGGTCTAGCCGTAGTGACAAATATTACTATGTTGAAGCTTTTCAGAACAAGCGAATGAATGCAGCAGTGGACTTCGTCGAAGAGACATGTAGTTGACACCTCGTGAAACTACTTTTTTTCTTTTCAAACATGAAAAGTCCCGTTCGAATTGAACACTCCTCATAAATAGCAAGAATTAAGATCCCCTGGAAAAATTTGTGGTTTTTATGAGTCTTAAGCAAATCCAAATGTACCGAATCTTAGAGCATCGAGACATATCTTAGAGTAAAACGGACTGTATGAAGTCGGCAGGACAAAAACTTACCATTTTTCACGGGAATTTTGAGCTCTTCATCTGGTGTAGATCTATCTTTCCCATCTGATTTTCCTGGAGATGTCGTCTGCCCACCAGACGACCTAATAAAGGCCGCCTCGTATCGACACACTGCATGATTCTTCCCCACGATGACAAACTCCCTGGGCTGGACAAATACTCCGCCCTTCTGTTTGAATGTGCGTCGCTTCGAAAACTTCACCCACTCCTCTCCATTTGCATCTACCGCCTCAAAGGCAAAAAAATTGATGCACTGCTGGCAGGGGCATGTCATCGATGCCAACTGTTGCTGTATCGTCGTTGATTTGATTCGGCCACTCCTATTGGGAGGTGTCGATGTGGAGAGGGGAGGACACTTGCACCAATTCGCTGGGCGACCTAGTCTCTCCTCGACAAGGGCGTTCAACTGATGAACTAATTCATCAACCAAGAGGTCAATACTCTGCAACGAAACCAGTTGCAGTTTGCGTTCAATCACAGGAGGTAGCTGAGTGGACGTAGTAACGCCTAACCAAGGAAGAAGGGTGTGAGAGAAAAAACCAGACATGCGGATGGAATCCGCAGGAACGAAGTAAGTAGAAGGTTGAGCACCAGTCTTTGTTATCGGTTCATAAGGCATGTCAGAGGAGCGACTTTTGAACACTGGAACCTCAATCAAACACGCGGGGAGGCCGAGTACAAAGTACTCCATAATTAGGTCATAGAGAGCGTTTTGCACTGCGGCGTGAAGTTTCTCGGTTAAGAGCTTTAGGTCAACCTCTCCACGTTCCCAGAGCCGCAGACGCACAGCTAGACGGTCCGGAGATGATGACACGGTGTCGTGAGAAGTCTGAAGGTCTGTTAGACATCCTACCAGCTCGGCCATACTAGCAACGCCTGCTGTGTTTTCACTGATTTCTTGACGACGCAGCCATTCCTGGAGGTCGAGACACGATGTGATGCAGAAGGGTTCTTGAGTGCCTGCTTGAAGGAGATCTACCACAGCTGTCACTAGACCAAATTTGGCAGTCCCAACACCCCTTCGACGGTGGTAAAGCATCACCTCAACACATCCGAAACGATTCCGAAGACAGGAGAGGACTTCCCTCTCTGGTTTTGCAGCAGTCATGAAAGTTAGGAGATTCTGTTTGAGGTACTGACAGAAGGGAAAGATTAATGTTCCTCTAGGAAAGTGTGGAACCTTCGAAGAATCCGTGAGAAATCTTGGAAGCGTGAAGAACAACTGATGTCGAGGTAGATGTCCCCGACGAGCGAAGAGGAAGTCAAAATCATGCGACGCAAAGCGGAAGAGAACAGTGCGTGATAAGACCTGTTGGAGACACTGGAGGACAATTTTATCCAGCAAGGACTGAAGGAGAGTTCTAACAAAGTTGCAGAAATGTCGGCTAGGTGAATTTATTCCATGCAGTGTAGCTTGCAGTTGGATTCGATTAAGACTGCTCGAACTGCTGCCTAGAAAGAGTGGAAGACTTTCTCGACGAGATGGGTTAGTGGGAGAGGTTCTACGGGGTGTCTCAAAAGCAGGACTTGATTCGAGGGGCACCTCACGCAAAAGCATGTAGAAGATGCGCGGAATGAAGTTTCTCCGCAGAGCTGGTTTCGCAGTATCCGAGGCAGGCTCCGAGTCATCGAAAACGAACATATTTTTCCGATTCATTACTGCAAAGTTCTCTAATAAGCGCCGAAGTTCTGGAAGCACCTGATTTCCGCGTTCTCCAGCAATAACAGCACGGGGAGAGACTTCCATACTGAAAACAAATTTAGGAGGGCAAGCCAACGACCCGGGTGGATAGGGCTCTGGTGAAACGGAGTTAATTTCGTTGGGCAGAGATTTCTTTCGAAGGGAGTTCTCAACCATTGGTTGGACCTCAGTGTTATCTGAATCTGTCGCTGAAGAAGCAGATACAACAACACTACGAGACTGGACGTAGGTTGGTACCAGAGGCTTTCGTTTGCAAGGTGCAGAAGTTTGTAGATTTCGCGGTGGCCGTTGTGGTGGTTCCAGAGGTTCAGGAAGGAGGGAAGAATCACAGAGGTGGTCGAGGACAAGTTGGTCGAGAAGGAGGGATTGACTAACTAGGCGTAAGGTTGATCGAATGTCATCCAGAGCACGACGGAAGACCACGCAATGCGGACAGGCGTCTTCGACAGCCGAGGGCTCACGGTGGGTGTCGGAATGATGAAAGAAGGCCTGGATGGAGGCACTTCCGACACGGAAGATAAGCCAGAATGCGGGGAGGCTGGGACCACTTATCTGGCGGACGAGGTTGAGAGAATCCTGAGGTGGAAATTGAGATGCCAGGGGGAAGCCGGTGACGTCAGTCTTCGCGTCAGTGGTGGTAGCGATGGTTGGTTGGCGTTCCAGCGAAGCAAAAGACGAAGCACGGGTCTTTGAAGTGAGAGACTCAAACTCGGCACTGTCGTCACTTACCTCGCACTCAGGGACTAATGCGACAAAAGGTGGAAGCAAAAAGCATCGATGGACTTCGATTTACCTGGATCAATACAGCTAAGACTTAGCCTTTCTCAATGAATGGTTTTTAGCACACACAAAGTCGTAAAAGTACAACTTCTAGTATAACCAAGTGTTCATTATAATACCACGAAAAGTTTTTAAGAGAGGGATTCAATTCTAAAGACAACAAGGGAAATGGTACCATATTGACAACAAATGTAATACTGGGTGATTTTTTTCCTTTGCAAATTTATCTCAATGCTAATGTCGCGGACAGGTTGGTTGTAAGGCTTTCTAAATAGCCAAATATAAGGTCTCTTTTTAATATGCTTCCCTCGTTTTTCATGCCATGTACGCTGCAATTATTTCAGCCTCCGTGCTTGCTTTTAAGGGATTCACTTTGCGTATTATATGGCTGTAGATTCTTCAGAGGTAAATCAGAGGATGAACAAAGTTAGGATGTATTCACGAGATCCCCAAAGTAAAGTTTACCTGACATTATGAAACAGATGGGGATCTTGAGCATCAAACTACTATAAAGAAGGAAAACTCACTATCCAGAGCTGGCTGTGGAGCTGATGGCAGCGACATTGAGCGTGAAGACACCTTCTGCGTTTCGAAGGCATTAAACATTAAACATTCCGTCTCGAGTTGTACGGAAATTCCCGCTTCTGAGGTGCTTCTTACAAGTGGATGTTGTTCATGTTTCTCCTGCTGAGGTGATGATGACAAAAGGGGTGAATGCAACGGTTCAGCCCTACACACCACATAGTAATCCCCTATACGATCAAGCTGCGCTTGTGCATAACGGAAAGAGATGCTCTGCAGTCGGTCCAGAAATCGTGGAACTGACTTTTCCGATTTAACAATAAACTCAAGGCCCACGCTCTCCCATCCAATTGCTCTCATCAGGTCTAGCAACACACCAGATACGCCAGAATTAGCCCCCTTTGCACCACTTATGCAAGCCTTGGACAGAAGCGCATATGAGTGACTGATATGGAAGGGCATTAGTACGGAAGAGGATGGAACGCTGTTAAGTAGAAGAGACTTGGTGTTCTCCATGTGTCGAAGAACCGCCTCCACTGTGGAAACAAGCAGAGGTTGCAGTAGACGCTGTGAACATACCACTTCGTCTTGAAGGAGCCACCGAAATATCTGTGTGGTGCGCCGTAACGATATCCACTGTTCGCTATCGAGATAGCGAAGGAATTCAGGGTTACTGAAAGTTCCACAGATACTACATGGACCAACGGCTTCGGAAATCTCCAAATGACACTCACACCAATGCAGAGAGCAGAGAAAATCACCGTCTTCGATTACCTCGGATGACGTAGAAGGAGCATGGCGGGAAGGGTGGATTTTTGATGGTGGGAGCGGCAGTGAACGTTGAAGACTATTCGTATTAAAGGCACCATCTCCTGCTTCACTAAATGTCGAGAACTCTTCACCGTCTGGACCACTGCTACTGTCGAAAGATTCACTCCTTTCTTCCACGGGATCTAAATGTCCACCTGGACCAGTAGCAATTGCAGGAGATTCCTGATAGCCGGGAGATTCAGCATTAGCATCAGAGGGAAATATCCCAACCTTCGGTTTCCAAATAAGTGGGGTAAAAATCGCGTTGAGACTGAGTTCTTGAAGATTCACTTCGTCACAGCTGGGCAACACATCCAGGAGGCATATTGGAAGGTTTTCAACGGGAAGTTTGACCTCCTCACCGCCGTGCTTTAGCTTCAAAATAACCTTCAAAAAGAGGGGTTTCCTATAAGGCATCGGTTGCACCTCATTAGGATATGATAGCACTGCAGCTGTCCCATCTCCCTTTTCCTCTACCATTGCTTCACCACGTTCTTTCTTCTTGACTTCTTCAGTATCGCTTTCTGATCGCAAGGAAGTAGGAAGCATAACTTGGCTGCCCGACACCTCAGCCAACTTCCGATATTCCGGTATGTAATTTTTTGGCGGCGGAGCGAGGATATGGGAAGTCGAGTTAGTGATGGGAATAGGCCAAGTGTCAAAGCGTTGCGCGGTTGCCAGATGGACATGAGACCGCGTTATTTCATCCCCTCCACGAAAGTAATAAAAACCAGGGAATTGTGTTATCGGGGAGAAGTATTGATTGAGCACAGAGAAGAGACGGCCACGAATTCGTTCACCATCGTGTGGACGCAACTCGCACCCCTCGGGGCTCTTCTTCTTGCATGGAAAGAAAGAAAGGTTTTGGGAGCCCGATTTACCCATCTGATTTCGAATAGCATTGAAACAGTGAGAGCAGGTAGAGCAGAGGAACTCAGTTGCATCGATAGTGATAGGAGGAAGGGAGGAGCAGAACCGCTCCGAGGTGAGAACACTCCTTATGGCTGCTTCGGAGACTACGAGCCCATGCAACAGGGTCCGATGCGCACATTCAACGAATGCCTCGTCACAGAGGTTCAACAAACCCAAAGATGCATCGCGTAGACGTGCCCAGAGAAGGCCTAACTCCGTGGTCAGCCGAGGGTTTCCTTTAGCCGCGGCAAGAAAGCTGTCCGGAGGATTGGAAGTTAATTCCTCGCGACAGATTGAACGCGGAGTTTTTAGGGTAGCATCCAAAACATCTTTATCCTGCTTAAAGAAATCAACGATGAGTGTGTCGGGATGGTTGTAGGTCCACCGATCATCCAGCGGGAAGGAGAGGTAGGTGTGCGTGCAGGAGTAAATAAAGATAGGAAAAGAGGGTTCATGACGGTTTGAGTCGCCTAGGCGCTGTCGTAAGTTATTCATCAAGTCCTGACAAAATGATGAAGTAGCGACTTTCAGGTTAGCAGGAAGGATGAAGAAGGTGACTGGAGAAGCACCAATTTCCACACTGTTGACTTCAACAAAGTTCTCCGTAGGTAACGGGTGCAAGCCTCGACTTTCACTTCGATTTTCACCACCGCCAAGACCCGACATAGTTTCAATGAAACTAACGATGGTGGCAAAACACTGCCATTCTACTTCTCCTGACTCTAGCAGAGCGCGATTCAGCCTTGGTGCGTTCTCCTCAGTCTCTTCCGACACAAGAAAATGACTAAATTGATCTGAATCGGTGGAGGAGAGGTGGATGGGTGTGATGTAGGGCATTCGCTGGGTTAAGTTGAAAATCAAACGGGTGATAACGTTCTCGGATGAGAGATATTTCAACACTGCAGTGGTCTCTTGAACCATAGAAGCGTCTAGAAGCAGGGGATAAAGAAGACACATGCGTGGACAGACCGCAGTAATGTTGGCAAGATTAAAAGGCAGTGCTACAGCAGGAGCAGTCGAGGACGACGAATTTGAAGTGGTAGTAGTCGAAGATTCCATGGAAGTGGTTTGACTCTCATTCGACGTAGGTGACGCTGGTGGTACTGCTAAACGTTGAAGCTCAATTATCCTAAGTAAACATGCGGCTAGGATCTTTTCTAGAGTGCTATAAGCTGCCAGGCAGAAACAGTCAAGTTGAAGAATCCGCTCCACCACTTGAGTGTACGATAGGTTAGCGAGATAGAGAGCTTCAGTTGGTAAGTCACTTGCATAACCGTGTTTGGGCTCTATCCACACCTCGGTAGCTATCTGGATTTCTGAACTAAGTTGGGCAGAAGTAAGGGCCTTCAGTCGGTTAACAAATAACCTAGGTACTTTGCTCGCCAGAGCTGCATCCAAAACTTTTTGAACTGCTTCCGAAGCAGTTCTCATTTCACTCGCATCTCTAGATTGGTCACTCCTTGCTGTCTTAACTCGGAACGGGTAAAGCTGATACTGAATGAGACAAGGCCGTTTTATAGCACCCTCTGCTGCAGAATCAACAGAGAACATGATCTCTCGGGCCATGCTGACGAAACCGGGTTGAGGTCCACTGCGCACAAAGTGGAAGCCCTCCTGAATCCGCAGATTCATAAGAGTAGAAAACATTTTTGCCACACAGTTTGGCGACTTTGAAACCACCGGAGCGACCCAGATGCACCCCAAGGTGCTGAGATGCTGGCGTAACAGAGCTGGCGCCACTTCACATCTCACTTCCGTCACCGTGCCCTTGAGAAAGGACTTAGACACCTGGAAATTCGATGAAGATGGCTGGGTAGCGGTACGGTAGTTCTGTTGTCGACTACTCATCCAGGTACCGGTTTCGACAATCAGACGATCGAGTTGAGAGAGGAACACCATGCAACAGGGAGTTTCGCCCCAAGAACGTTGAAGTGGTGGCACATGGACGTCTTCAGCACGATTAAGTGAAAAAGGGTAAAGAGGCCCAAAAGTACCGGATTTGTGACGCGATTTAGGTACTGCCTGTCTCCCTCGAGGCAAGAAACTGAGAACTCGGAAACGGCGTGAAAGCTGTTCCAACGTGGCACGGCGATAGTCCGATTGAACACCTGCTGTGAAAGCAACACGAACTCGCATTTCTGGGAGCTTCATTTCCAATCGAACGAGAGTGAAATAACAAGGCACGCAGAGAGAAGAAGCATGGGACAATGGTGCCTCGGAAGCCTCTGGATTGCCAGTGTCCTCAAGGGACCCATGGCTGGGATACTCCAGCCGAATGTAGGTGTGGTTTTCCAACAGCACAAACGTGCACCAATCACTAAGCATACTGTGGATTCGCGCAAGCGATTGGCGACATGTAAGAAGGTCAGTTACACGTCGGGTCGGAACGGGGATGAATAAATTCGTGGGGAGGGGTGAGTCATGTTCAAGGACAACGTATAAGGTTTCTGAGTGCATCCACCGATAACAGTTGGCAATGTCAAGAGTTAGTAAGCGACCCCAGTAGTATACAAAATTGAATAGCGACTTATCATGCTCCATTTCTTCTGCTGTATTACCAGAGAGATAAATTTCAGATCCGCCACTCGCCCCCTGTGCTGTGATGAAGACCGAGCAAAGGCCGTTTTTATACCGTACAGGCACAGAATAGATATCCGGATTGAGGTTAAAGGAAGAAACATTTTCAAGGTAATCATCAACAAGATTGAGCAGTCTGAAATGAAAGTCGAACCGGTTGAGGGTTGAGGCCAAATAGGAACTCGTTACTTGGTCACGGCGCTGCTGGGTGAATGCACGTAGGAGGGAGTAATTAGCACGAACGCGGAGGTTGGCAATGCAATAGCGTCCAGAAACGATTGGCTTAGTTCTTGAAGATGTATTGGCAGCTTGGAGGAGGTAGTAATTAGAAGAGAAAACGGGCAATTGTCCTGTGGGAAGGAACCATTCCCCCGCTAAAAAGAGACGAAATACGACGCCAGGTTTCCAAGCGAGAGCTAATTCAATCTGGATCCAGGAGGAAGAAGAGGTGGCTGGAGAAACAGAGTCATGTTTTGCTGGAGGTACTGACACGGAACGAAGACGATATCCATCTTTAAGTCGAGAGGCAAGAACATGGTTGAGAGCTGCGTGAACGATACGTGAATAAGGTTGAATTTCATTTATTGCCACCCAACCTAAATCACCCTCTTTATCCGGTGTGCTTTCGACATCGTCTTGAAGTCGTAATGCTAATAGAAGCTCGTGAATTTGGTTCCATTGGGAGGAAGTTTGTCTGGACCAATATTGCCGATCCGTAGAGAGGCCTGTTAAGCAAAATCCGGCAGTAGCATGAGCAATAAATTGACATAAATCCAGCTGCGGTATGCACGGACTCGTGGATATAGCCCGGAGGAGGTTTCTTGGTGTCCTTGCAGGAGCAAAATCAGTAACAGTGGAAGTAACAATGGCAGAGGGGACAATAAATGAGCATCTAATAGCTGCAGCTCGAAGATGTGCCAAACAACGGTCGAGTTCAACCATATCCAGCGTGGTAAAGCAGGCATCAGAAATTATTATTAGGGAGGCGGGTGCCCAGTCCGGCATCTGCATAGCGAGAGTTAGCACCCCGTGACGTAACATATCCACAAGAGCAGAGGCGGAAGAGCTAGAATAGGATGGAGTGAAGAGATCCGCGGTCTCCAATTGGAAAAGGCGCTTATTCACCGCAGCAATAACTGATTTGATGCCTTCTAGAGAAGCCTCCCAATCGTGGATGAGAGTAAATGATTGCCGGTTGGGCACCACCCCGATGATACTGATGAATAGAGAGAGGGGTGAGAGGAAGGAGTTGGGAAGGGGAAGTGAGAGGCCAGAGGAAGGAGGAATTAGTTTATAGAGAACAGATTCGAGGCAAAAGACGGCGTGATAGAGAACGGAGAAACCAGTTGAACAGGGCTGCAGCATAGAGTCGCTGAGATCTAGGACGAAGGTGATGCGATGTGAGTGAGCTAGGTACTTGACTGTGGTGTGTGGATGGATACAGTAAGAAATGGGAAAGGCGGAAGGGAGGGGAGGGGAGGGCAAGACGGCCAAGATGGAAAGACTGGACCAGGAAGCGGGCGCACAGTCTGCGGGCCAATCAGGGAGCTGAGCGCAGACACCGCTAGCGGGAAAGACGATGTGGCGGTTGACGTTGCCGATGAACCATTCGACGCGAGTGTTGTGAGACACCTTGTGACCCGGTTTGGCCAGGACGTAAACAGTGTCGGCGGGGATTTCGGTCTCTGGTGATGAATTTGAGGTCATTGTTCCACCTGGATAGGTAGGAATCAATGAAATTCTTTAGCCAATGCGATTGGGGGTAATGACCATAATCAATCACCTAGGCACTCATAAAGTTATTATGGAAAAAATAAGAATATGCAGTAATAAACGAGGAAGAATACCTAAAAATAGGACATGCACATATGTAAGACAGTACGAAAGTAAATGAACATTCGTAAGTATGAAATCAGCCATGCTCTGCAAAAAATCAATAAATGCTAGCAACAAAAAATGATACAATTTAGACCACCCAGAAAAACCAGCATGTTTCTTATCCGAACTCATAAATATGAAGTAGCTAGCGATCAAATACAACCCGTAACTCGATGCATTTACCGGCTCAGCAGCTCCTTAGAAATTATTGAGTTCTAAACACTATGTTGTGGCTAGATGCATTAATTTGGTTTTCATGGAAGTTAAAACGAACAAAGTAAAAGCTGACGCTAAGCCAAGCTAGTCCATTTGCAATGAAGGAGCATACGCATCACGCTACACCTATGACATGATCTGGATCAGCGACAACTGGCTGACAAATCAAGGTCTAATTCTGAATTACTTAATGGGCCCACAAGAATACACCTAAACCAAGCTTTGCCATTTCTAATACCCTACATCTAAAGTACATGACTTAAATAATATTTATCAATAGCATAAACTATAAGGCTTATAAATGTCCCCAAAAAGTCTAACGACTTCAGCGACGAGGCAAAAAGAAGGATACAGGAAAGATTACGGCAGCATTACCATAGGGCCCCCACGTTCTTGAAATTAGAGCCCCGCCAGTGACCCAAGCACTGACGCGTGAATCCTCAAGCTACTAATGCCAGATTGGATCCCAAGGTCGAATCCAGCATGTTTAAGAGCCAGTAAATTAAGTATAATTTAGAACTTACTTGCCTAAACCTACTTTTCATCTTTTTAGAAAATGTTAAAATTAATTGGTTTACATGTGAAAAGGCGCAATTATGCTCTGAGTTTCGCACCTACAAAGTACGTGATTGTGCTGATATGAAAAATAACTACAGCACCATTACATTAAAAATTAATGTTCAAGTGATTACATACGCAAAAAAAAACAAAATATGCGCAAACTTTAAAATATTGGGATTTACTAACAAAAGTACTTTAGTTTTCAAATTTAAAAATAGCGGCTTAGCTGTCTTTTGTTAGTGATTTATATTTTGACCTGTTAATAGTTGAAGATACAGTTTTTGTGAAATCACCTTTTGACTAATTGCCTCACGCGCTCTACTTGTCGTCTAATCCCGTAGCTCGAGATGAGTGCGTCCGTGGAGTGGGCGATTCCGTCGGAGAACGTAAAGAAGTATGAAAATCTCTTTGAAAACATGGAACATGCTGGTGATAAAGTGTCTGGCGAGGTCATGAGCAAGGTGACTTCTTTAATTCTTTTGAAGTGTGTAATTTTGCCAGGTTTTGGATTTTACGTTTGAGCAATTCTCTTCCTTTGCCTCTTATCGTTTTTTTCTGCTTTAATTGGAGGTCCGTATTTCTCTGATTTATTAGGTAAAAACTGAGCGTTTTATCATCTCTTCGTAGTTATTAGTACTTGTACTCGCTTGTAGTCATTTTCCCGATCTGTTCAGTAGTTATATTTTGCATCTAACTCTGCTCATAAGGCTTTTTGATGGTGCTATTAATTGCACTACTCATTTTGTTTCGCCATTAAGGCTCAGTAGGCTATACGATGCTGGAAAGCACTTGTTGCTCCTCTGTCCTTGTTATTTCCCTTCCTTTTCACTTCCATTCCATCATCAATTCTGATTCCTTTTTAGATTTTAATGTAAGAGATTTATTTGCCGCGTCTTTTTTAGGGTGCTTCCGCATAACGAAAATAGCCGCATCCCACATCTTAAGCAACGTTATTATCTGGATGTAGTTTGGCGTTCTCTTTCACTTTTCAGTTTCTTCGTGATACCAAACTTCCCGTGGAAACACTTCGGATCATTTGGGATCTCTCCGATCTCGACCAAGACGGCTACTTGGATCGCTTTGAGTTCATTTTGGTACCCAAATTACCCTTTCACGCGTTTTCTTCCTTCACGTAAATACAAACAAATACATATTTCTTTTAGACGATGCACCTAGTGTGTCTCTGTCTGGAAGGTCGTCCCCTGCCCCAGACCCTTCCTATGAACCTCGTGCCGCCGAACAAACGTGGAGGCGTCTCAGAACCCCTTGCTCTCATGCCGCCCCCCTCTCTACCTTCCTCTTCCGGCCTCTCTGATCTCGGGGTTACTTCACCATCTACCCCGTCTGTGCTGGCGAGTTGTAGACTTTTTTTTCCTTTTTTTATTGAAGTCGTGAGGTTATTACTTATCTAGGTGATTAATAAAATTTCATTTTGAGTTGTAAAGTGCTTTTTTCTTGGTGTTCAAATATAATAAGTAATTGCAACTTCCCTATTTTGCCTTTGCTGATTTGGGATATCCCACCACTCATCAAAATTAAATGTTTTTCTAGTGATTTTTAGGGGTCCTAAATCGGGACCTATGCCGCTTAGGTGTTGAAGTCTCTTTTCATCCATTCTCAACCTTGCTGTTTTTTCTTAATTTTAAACCAGTGCTCGTAAACCGTGACCTTCTTTCTTAAACTTTAAGCATTTATAGTACTCTGTTTAAATGAGTACTTGCCATCCTAGGCTTTTTCATTTTTTATCTAATATGATTCAGACCTATGCGCATATTGATCTGACTTGTCCTTTTTTCTATAAACTTGTCCTTCTTGATCATTTAAAATATCCTCCCAATCGTCATTTTTAGAGGACAGCCTGAGTTGACTTCGTTTGAGATTTATTTGCGTATTTGCCTTTTATAGGTTCTTCATAAGGAAGGATTAATGTTTGCTATTTTAAACATTCACCCATCGGTTCCCTTCTTTCCTGTGTGGCTAGCAATTTCCTCTATGGGTTGCTCTATCCTTGAAACTTGAATCATCATCCTGTTCTTCTATTAAGGCTCAAAGTTGTTCGATTGCAGTTGAATCTATTTTACTGTTGTTATATTTTCCTAGATTTTACTGGTAATCCATCCTGTCCCATCCGTTTTCATGCAGGCCGTAGAGTGCCCCATTTCCATTATTCCTACTCTCAATTCATAATCCTCTCCAAATTAACTCGGATTCTTTTGTGGAAAAATGGAGGTGTTATGTGCTTTCTTTTATTCTTTGTCTGCGTGATGCATGAACACCAGCTCACAAATAGGGCAGCTCAACTTATGCTCGATTAGTCTACCTAGTTTATACTTTGCCCACTGCTTTAGTAATGATGACGCTTTATATTGTCATGGTTTCCTAGCTAATTAGTTGACTTTCGCGTATGACTTATGAACCTGCATTTTGCATCCATGGTATTCCTAGTGGTGTTTTTATCCCCTTTGCAATACATTTTCATGTTGTACTTTTGACCAACAAATTTTCGTCCCCCTTGAGTTGCACAAATTCTGCTATCCTGTACCATGTTCCAAAGGAACGTCTGTACTCAGAGCGGTATGAGAAATCTCCCCTTGTCGTTTTTTACTTTAAAACTACCTCTGTAGGATATGAAGCCCTTACTTCGGTCTCAAGCACTTTTTTCCCACTTTTGTTTGTTTATTTGTCTAGTCAGGACACTTACACTATCTCCAAGCTTTTGCCACACGCAATTGGTTCGTCATCGTTATCGTTTACCTTACTTCATTAAAGTACGTCTATTGTTAAGTCGCATTAATTGATTTCATTATTGTTTTTATGGACCTTAAGCTATATTCTAAGTGTTTTACTCTTTGTACAAGTGAATTTGAGTTTAAATTTGGTCCAATTAAGTCCTCGTTGCTTTATTTTCGGCGAAAGAATAGTTTGCATTCTTTTCCTTCCTTCCTTACTCCCACGCATCCATCCTTCCTCCCTTCCCTCTGTTCTTCCTTCCCACCTTCCCCGATCTCATTATTTTGCCTGTTCTTTCTTCTTCACCACAATCTACAGTCGCTGCCTTTACTCACTTTGTAGAATTGGCTTCACTGCTGTTTAGCCAAGCTCCTTAATTTTTATCATCTGACGCATTTGTCTAGCAGTAGTAGTTGCATTTGACAATTATGTAAATTTTCAGCCTAATTGATGAATTTACTATTTCATGATATTTAATAAATTATATCTTATTTCTATTTATTTCCAGTCCTCTTATCACGAAGTAGTCATTTTATGCTATTTCATTTAACTTGGGATGCTTTTAAATGCAGGAAAGTCTTCAGAAATCCTTAAATCCCGTACCTCTATGCAAATCACTTCATCCCAACAACACAGATGCTTAAAATTGCGAACTCCACGTGTTGAGAGTTTGAGTGGTTGGAGGCGAATCGCGACCTGAAACGTCGCTGTTAGAAAAAAGGTTTCGTTTTGACATCTATTTTGCAACTCTGATCCTAGTCAATATCCAAAATTTTGCGCTTTCTCGTTTGGTGTCCCTACCCAGGCTCCCAACCAGCACTTGTTCATCTTTGAGACATGCTTCTTGGCTCTTTTTGCGCCAACGGCTTTGGATGTGGCGCAGTTGTCGAATACCTGCATAGCTTATGGGTTTAAGTCTTCTTATGTGCTGGAGTTGCTGTAAGGGAGAGTAAGCACAAATCCATAAATGGCGTGGCTTTTTATGCACTTTTTTATGCCGGCAGCCAAACCAGCTAAAATACCATGAGCATCAATTAATCATTTAGCTAACTATGAGCGATTCCATTCAAAACGTCTTTATGCTCAAATACAGTTCCACTTTGATGGAATTTTCTTTACGCTTGGGATTCATTTTTGTTGTTTTGACTATTAGAGAGCTTCTTGTCAATCATGCTTTCTTTGACACTCTACCCTTTGATGTTCCTGTGCCAAAATGTGCTTCCAGAAACACGTCCTCCTTTTCATATTTGGACTCTGTTTGTAACCCTCATGACTTAAGGGAAAAACAGACTTCTTTACCATTTTCAAAAAGTTCTTTTTTGTAATGGTTTCTGTAATTGCTTTTGATCAACCTAATTAAGGGCTTGAAAAGGCATGGATGGTAATAAATAGGTAAATAAGCGGCTCTGGTCTTCTCAAAGATCACCAGGTGCTTCTTAATAGCAACTTTAATTCCTGGTGTTTTTCTTGGTTATCATTTTGCCTCGGTGCTTGGGTCACGTTTTTGGAGCTTATCCTTGCATTAGCTACACAATAGTATAATTAGAAAGAAAATTAGCGTAGATAGCTGACTATTAATACAAATCAAACAATAGACTGATTGTCTGTTTGTCGTGTGAATATGGGATAATGATTTGGTGCCAATCGCCGTCTCTATCTTCACCTTCATACAGATTTTTCGATTGACTGAGCTAATCTGCGATTAACATTTTCCGTCTTCATAGGCGATTTCCGCCCTAGCTGGGGGCCCACCACCACCCATGCCCGATTGGGCGATCAGCAAGGCTGAGCAGACCCAATACTCTGCGGTCTTTACTAAATTGGACAAAAACATGGATGGAATGGTCACGGGGGAGGATGTTCGCGATTTTTTCATGCACTCTAACCTTCCACAGACCGTGTTGGCGCGAATTTGGGATCTGGTCGATCTTCAACACACTGGCTCTCTGAATCAGTGAGTTCGATGGAATTCACTCGCATGTTTCACAATGCGTTAAAAGACCCAACCATCATGGCTTAGGTTTATCAGTAACGTGAAAAACATTTGGCAGACGAGTAGCTCAGAAAGTATAGGCTTTGTTCGTTTGTAGTCAGATTTGTGAAAGACAAGTTCTGATTGTTGGGCACGCCATCGGAACAAATATAATTGCATCCCATAGTTCCATCTTTTTTCAATCCAGCGTCCGCAATACTTTCCATGTCTACCCGTCTGTCTCCCACTACAACATAGTCGAGCATATTAAAATCAGGAACAAGGCGGAAGTATATACAATTCAAACGACAGCGATTAATCGTCTGGGTTCCGGTGGGATCCCTTGGTTACTATCATTACCTAAGGCTGAATGATGTTCTAAGCCGCTTGCCGCTCATTGGATTATTTTTCCAAACACATGACAAGTTTGTAAATCGCAATACAGGGTGGCTTTGAAGGGCTACCCTCTGTATTCATTCATACTTTTAGCTATATTGTCTTCTTATTACTGCCTGCCCACTTACTTGATAGAGGTGTCAACTTATGTGCCGTTTTTTGTTTAAGTTTGTTCTTGCTTCACTATCTGCTAGCATTAGCAGAACTCAAGATCGGCGTGGGTTTCAAAGACCAGCATTCCGTAAATGGCCTTCCTGTTGCAAGTTCCAGTTGGTTTTTGGTCTTCACTTACTCATTTAAGTATGGGTTCGCCACCACTTCCGCTCCTGCAGAACCAAAGTTATACTTTAAGACGTTAGAGTTCATAACGGTCCGAAAGCGGGTTTATTATCAAGGCCTACAAATGTTGTGATTCTAGAAGTAGATGACATGAACAACGTTCGTTATCACCAATTTCGTCAATTATGTATCAAAAACAACTGGCCGTCAAACACCACACATAATAGAACTAATTATAGGGGGCAATTCAGCAGCGTGCCTTCCCTTGCAGAGAGCAATTCATAGTGGCAATTCATCTGGTTAATGAGCAGATAGCCTCGAGGTGCTCTCGAGATCTTCCCACCTCCTTGCCACCGGCCCTCATTCCGCCCAGTCTACGACCGGTCACTCTGGACAGCAAAGAATATGAGGAATCCAACAAACTGCTGGCAGAAATTGATGAAATCCGAAAGTGAGTTTAGTTGGCAGGCAAAAGTAAAAAGAGAAGAGCGGATTTTTCACTCTCCTATAAGAAGAGAAAATGGAGCAATCTAGTTGTGGTTCCTTTCTACCCAATGATAAATCATCTAAAAACTAACATGCTTCCTTTGCAGGGCTTACTTAAGAGCCTGCTCTGTTAATAGATTGTGTGCCATTATCGAAAGGAACCACTTACCAATCCCTTAGGTCTAGAGCAATCCCTCCACTTTAAATGTTGGCAAACCAATGTTTGCTTCGGTCGAATAACCTCGTCTCGTGGGGTTGTAATAAAAGTCAAGTCGCAAAATAAACATTCTTTGTTTTGCCGGTTGGAAATTGGTTCAATAATGAGTTCCTGTTGCTCGTGTTTATTCACTTATTTTGCTTAATCTGACTGGCCCAAAATATCACTAAAGCTTCATTCTAATAAAGTGGGTAATTGACTGATTGTTTGAACTAGTAAGTAATTGGATGTCTGAACAAGCGAGTAAGATAGTGGACGCGTGACCGAGTTTACCGACTAGATGAGCTTTTTCATGCACTTGTGGTTGATGGACTTACTCCAACATCGACGACCCATGTCTCGTGAGGCTTTAATTGAAGTCGTCGGGGCTTCTTGTGGGAAATCGCTCTTAGACTGCGTTGTCCTGATCAGTCACAAACCGTCATTTTAGTCCCATGATGTAGATGGCTGAGTGGTTAAATGAACGAACAAGGAAGGAATTCTGCGATGGAGCGAGTTTCTTCATTCAATGTTCCTATTAGTGATTGGTCCCATCCTCTGCCAAAATTGATTGATCATTTCAAACCCATTCAGTCATTGTATCCACTCCTACTGTCCCAAAAAATACCGCAGAATTTCTTTCCTTGAATAACTGAATGCATGATAGATTGAAAAAGAGATTAAGCCGATCGAGTGAGTGTGCAGATGGATTGTTGCTGGGTAAATGAATGACAGGGCATATGGGTGGGGGAAGAGTATGTGAATAAGCCAGTGAGTGGACGGATAAATTCGTTAAACACAAATTTCCTGTCAGTTGGTCGGTTTGTTGGTTAGCGTATAACCTACTAAGCGATTGAATGAATGGATGGAGTGCACGAGTAAATAAGAGCTCAAGCTCTCAAATAATTCTGCTCCTCTCCCTCTTTGCACACCGCAGAGAGTGTCTATCAGTGGAGGCTCAATCAACCAAGCTCTTGGTCGAGGCGAGTCAGCGCTCGACTGAGCTTTCAAGCATGACTGCGGCGGCGGAGACGCTAGCCCAAACGGCGCTCAATCTCGCAGCACAGCGGGCCCTTGCCGAGCGCTATGTCGCCGATCGCTCTGAACGTCGCGCTGCCCTCCGTCTACAGCTGACTGAAGTCTCTGAAGCTGCAAAGGAACGCAAAGTGGCCGTGGAAACCCTCCGGGGTCAAGTGACTACCCAACAAATCTCTATTCGAGTGAGTTCTCATTCTCCCTCGTTTTAAAGTGATGAAAACCACCCTAAACTGTCGAAATCGGCTTTCTAGTTATTGTCATGATCTGACTAAAAGGTTCGTAAGCTAATTCAGATTATATTTTTTGGAGCCTTTTTCCTCTTCGAACGGGTTCATTCTGTAGAAGTTCTGGTGTTGGAATCCTTCATTATGAGTGCATGGAAGAACTGGGACTGTTACTCGTGCTGTTGCGGACACATTTTGCATTCTCTTCTTTTACTCTATTTTTCCTTTCCAATTTAATTGGGTTCTTTTCAGCTAACTGCACCACATATGTGTGACTTGGCCTCAGGGAAGGAAGCCGTGGGGTCTCGTGTACGTAGCATTGTTAGATAAGGTATTCAATGTCATTATCGTGCTGTTTTATAATTGTCCCCACGGTTTGTTTCCTACTTTATGAATCCGCCAGTAACTCCTTTTTATAGCTTTTTATAGAAAAGCAATAAAAGGGCTGCTTCTCTACTGTTTGTGACTTATGTGCTAAATAGGACGATAATTTCTCTTTTTCAAGTTATATTTCCGTTAGCTGAAGCTCTAGACATCCACATTTTTCTGAGTGTGGCCTAGGTTCCCATTGACTAAACTATTTTCATTATGACCACCTGCAACTAGCATTTTACTTCGTGATTACTGGCATTTATTAGCTCTTTATGGGTGATTATCGTTTTGTTCTCTTCCGTCTTGGCTACTACTGTTCTCGGTTTGGCTATGGGGTCCAATTTATCAATCCATATTTGCAGAATTTTGTGAATATCGTCGGCTCTCCCGAAGTGGTCATTGCCTTACTTTGCTCTGATTGGGATCTATATTATCACAAATGCGGATACACAAGCGTCTCAGTATTGTTTACTTTTCTGAAAGTCCGCTATTAGGTTTTAATCCTTTTTGGAGACCATATTTTCTGACTTACTTTCCATCAATCTTGTTATCTTTGATAGATTTTTCAGTTTTCCCGTCGCGAATGCGTCGTATAGGTCTTTTTCGGTTGGTTTCTGTTATGAACTGAATTCCCACTCGTAATGATCAGAAGTTTCTATTTTCCTGTGGCTTGGGTCCTGTCAAACTCTCGACCGGATAACCAGTGAGGAATTCAGACCAAGCGTTCTCATTGACTGATTCATGTGAGTTTACAAAAGGAAGTGGAGAATGCCAGAGACTGCGAAAATCGAGTCTGCGTTTTTCATTACGCGTGCTTAGTGCCTGGTTAACTTTGGGTCCCGAGGTGCTGCTATTATTCTTAGAGTGCTTGACTTTGAGCCACTCAGGGAACTGCAAGAGGCCTACTGTAGAATGTTCGAAGATTAACCGTTGTTTGGGAAATTTAGGTGGTAGAACAGGAACGTTTTCTGGGATTTTGGGTAACCCCGGTAATTCCCCTTTTCTTTCGTACAGTTGTCTTTTCTTATGGTACTTAACATTCAGAAATTTAGTGTCGTATCGCATGTAAGCAGAAGTAGTCATGATGAATCAATACAAGTGACAATGTTACACAAAGGGAGGGGAATTATATCTTCTATCTGATTTCCGGTAATCACCGTGGTATTCATTCAAGTACGATGTGGCTCTCGTGTCAACCTATTGGTTAGGTAACATCTTAGGTATCTTACCTTATTAAATTCTCAAATTACCGTACATAGATGATCGACCTTTCTCTTGGTTTCAACCTTGTGCAATTGATGTGGTAGAAGTTGAAAGTATTATCTGGCTCTTGGGGTTTTTGACATCTCAGTTTGTGGATTATGTTTTTGGTAGTTCAACATTGGATAGGGACTGCCTTCAATTGAATATTGATTGAACAAGCTTTTCGCCTCATTCGAACCAGTCAGACACCTGCTTGAAGGTCACACTAGTCCATCTTTTTTTCCTCTACCGTTTAGTCTCAAGTGGAGGAGGTGGTTCAACTCCGCAACGCCATCACCGACCGCAAGCGAGAGGAGACCGCATTGCTTCAACAGGTTGCTGAGCGTCGAAGTCGTGCAGAGGCTGTGGAAACAGAAAATAAAGCTATTTCTTCGCGCAATGACCTGGTGAGCGATGTCTAACACTACTTATTTGACTCTAATTACCTCTCTGTTGAAATCTACTTAAATGACTCGTTTCTATCTGCAAGCGGAACTCCTATTCTACTCCATACTTAAACATTTATTTTCCTTCATTCTTAATGTGTAGCTTTATTCAGTCCTGCACTCTTTGTTCAAGTCTCGAATTTGCATACCTGTCGTTTATGCTATCCTTTACGCCTGATCACGATGTGGCTGCCCACTTAAATCCCTTTTAAACAATAATTCTTGTCCTATCGTATAAGTATCTTCAGTTATAAAACAATTTTCACACCTCTAAATGGTACTGCAAGTGGGTCTATTTTGCTCTGTTTATCGTTTCGTGTTAGCCTGATCATACGGAGAGAGGATAGGTGGAGGTATCTGGATAACCTCATTATGTTGGTGCAACGTGATTCTTACTGGAGCGTGCACGTGCATCCGTTAGTGTGCCTTGCCCTCAGTAATTCAAACATGCTTTGCTTCAAGTTCTTGTCTCACCTCTGTAGGAAGGTTAGCCTATAGATCAAGTAAAAAGTTAATTGACTTTACTAGCAGTCTTTTTTTCATATTTAGCTTTCTCTATGTAATACCAAGCGTCCAATGTACCTATAAATCACAGAGTCACATGGAAATGGCGCACTGCCCCGACACGCATGAACTGCTGTAGACAGTAGGAAGCTGCGAAGTAGGATAGGTGATGCATAGGTGGCTAGCTGTCTTTGTAAGTTTGTAATCGGGTGGTAATGCCCCTCTTCAGGCATCGATTGAAGGTACGCAGGGTGTAATATTGCGTACTCTTTTGGATGGTTTAAAAGCGTAGGCGTTGCTCAGATAAGGTGAGAGTTTGAAGGGAGAGTGTTTGCTACTGGAATGGTGAATGATTCTTAGGAATTTAGGCCCAAGAAATAACCCAGTTCTTACTTAGTCCCATTTTCTAGATCATTTTTTTCCAAATTGTCCGAAGCCAAGAAGTAATAATTATCATCGTGGGGAATACATGGAGTGAAACGAAGGTGAGACAGTACTTCCCTCCCTTCCTCCCATCTTAAAGTGCAAATCTTCGCGTGGGACAGTTTTGTTTCCTCATGAGGTATACGATGTTCCGTTGTCTTGCCAGATGGGTTTCGGTCGTAATTGTTTGGCACATAGTTTATTGACATCTCTAAACAATCTACTACATGCTCACCAAACAAGTATAGTCCTCTGTGGATGAAGTGACACACTGGAAGCGTGTGGTGGTGCGTGATTGGTTGGAGACAATCAGCGATGCATTCGTTTGCTTAACAAATGTTAGAATGCGAAAGACAGTTCGTATCACAAGTGAATCGGTCGGTTAGCAAGCAGTGGAATGCATGGTGTGTTGTCGTAGGGCACATGGAAGAAGAGAAGGAAAGTTGCTACATGCGATGTCTGTTTGAATAGCTTTCACGCCTGTCTCTCGTCAAAAACAGTCATCATGAAAATAGCCACCATCTGGCCCTGATCTGGACTGAAAATTGCAAAAGTAATTCTATCAAGCCAGAGCGCAAACTGCACTGCCCCTTGTCATCTGATAGTTCGAAGCAATAGTAATTGTTAATTTTATAATATCATTTTGAAAACAGAACAGGAGATTTAAGATGTTACATTTTTTACAATACTCCGTTTTGGCGTTTTTTAGAAGATTTAACAGTGTCAATGTTTTTTACTATAACTGGTCGTCAAGGCCGTTTTTTTTCAGTGGGCCCTTTTTTTAAAAAAATATAAATGACCTATCCATATTTGTGACTTGTAATTCCAGTATAACTAAGGCCATGGGGAAGGTTTCTCTATTGTCTATGGTGAATCAAAGGTTTCTACTGTGGTAACAGTTATGCCTGTAATTCGCTGTTAAATGATGTACCTAAAATCTCCTTCCAAAGCCATTGTTCTAAACGCTCAATTGTGCCCTCCATGTCCCTTTTGTCTGTGTAGGAGGCGAAAAAGATATCCAATCTGGAGTCTATTCGTGAGAAACTGCTTTTCTCCCTGGACCAGTATGCCAAACTACTCGCGGGTGACACCACCACTGTGGAACCTGAAGAGGCGCTCATTCAACAACTCGTGAGTTACATTTTTTCCATAGCCTACTTTAGGTACTTTTCCTGTTCACTTTACCAAATATTTTGCTAATGCGAGCTTGGTCTGCATGTTCCCCTCCTGCATTTCTTTTGAAGGGATGGTAAGGCGGACGTTAATTGGATTGGTCGAAAAATTAGCTAATAAGAGTAATGTGGATGAGCGGTGTTCTCCTACTGGAGAAACTGATGTTTTTTCCTTCAATTTCCCTGTTATCGAAGACGGCGGCAGTAGCAGCGGAGAAGGAGCAAGTGACTGAAGCCGGCCTCAGTTCAGTCGGCATGCATCCACTACCCCAAATGATCGCAGACCAAAACTTTGCCTCCTTCTTTACCTCCCCAACTTCTGAAAGTGACAAAAACAGTCCATTTGGCAACGACCCATTCAGTACTGGTGAGTGAATGGGGGTTGACGATAACTTTTGTACCTGAAGTAGAGTGTTTCTATCTGAAAGTTCAGAACTGGTCTCTCCATCGTTGAAGCATTGTTTGCAAATTCGTTAATTTCACTGGACTTATAGTTTTAAGCGCAGACCAGAAAGCAACTGTTTTCTCCGTGAATCCTCTTGCATTCTTGCTAGAGTTTTCAGCCAAGACCATTATGTGTACCGAATCGTGAGGTTCGTGTTATCTGCAAAGGTGTACGAAGCATAGGTAGGTTTATATTAAGTGTGCTAAATCACAAAGAAATTGCGAAACTTAGAAAGACTGCGTAGTAAAACGCACAAGAAAAGCAAACATTACTTTGTTACATTAACTCAAGTCCTGATTTGAATGTAGTTTTAGCCCCTCCCTTCGATTGCTCTTCTGTCTTAGCAATCGCAAGAGGATAGAGTTGAAGAAAACACAAGGATGTCTATTCGTAGCATAAGTATTTTCGAATTTAACGATGGTTATCCATGGCATAAATTCCAGAAGTCCATCTTAGTATACTATACTACGGTTGCAATATAATACGCGGTCGCTTTGAATGCCATTAAGTTAATGTCATGTGGAGACAATATTCATAACCCATGGGCTATTTCTAGGAAAGTCACAAAGGAAACGTATCTGGAATTATGAGACTACCAAGAACTCGTGTTTTTCCATGATTGGCGGAGATTACCAACATGTCCCGCGCTAACTGGGGAATGGAGGGAAGATACAGCCTCATCATTTCCCTCAATATTCTATCCGTAATATTTATTGGGGTTAGTATTATGCATCGAGCAAAATAATCAGTTGTGATTATGTCATTGACCAAGACCGCTCGTGTTTGTGGCGACTTATCTGATATGCATTTCCTCAGATTCAATCGTCTACGGTTGGTCCCTTCCCTCCATAGTTGCTAAGTGCTCCACCTAGACGCACGTCTTCCTTGAAACATCAGCGTAAATTATTAGGTTAGTCGTGTAATTTAGAATACACAGCACAATTATGGACGCCTGATAATGTAGTACTGAAGTGTTCCGTGTCGTAAAATAAGGGCCTTAAATATCCTTTCGGTATCGAAATCGTGTGTTGCCTTCTCACACTGACTTTGCTTTTCTTTTTTAGGTTCTGTGGATGCATTCGGTGCAGGTACTGGCTTTGGTGCATCGGCGGGAGCTTCGATGGATCCCTTCATGCCCGCTGCTTCTGATCCCTTCTCACCACTAGTCAAGGGTAATTGGCTCTAATCCACTAAAAGAGGGCTGACTGATTGTTCCATCAAGGATGGATTCACGGAGTCGCTAGTTGTATCCCTGTGGTTTTTTCAGTCGTAAAAATAGACTCGATTCAATTTAAAAGCCAGAATTTTCCCAGTTGCCCTTCATTTTGGACACAAATTATAATTCCCGGAAGTTATTATTTGATATGGTGTTCCGTTGAGGTATAGTGCCCGAGTTTTCACTAATCTTAGAGTTAGGCCTCGAAATTCTGCTAGTTTATAAGCCCATTTGGAATGGTCGCATTTGTTCACAATTACTGTGGAGGTTACAGCGCACATCATGCAGGAAAGTTTGGAATGTAATGAGATGTTCTGTCCTCTTGTGTGATCCTTTTCTACTGTTTTAGCCTCCTCCGATCATCCCAAATTTCCGTTCGACTCCAATAAATTCGATGCCGTATGTTCGTCCTATTTTTTTAGTTCTTAAGTTATTATAAAATTCAAAAATTCAGAATGCAGAATTGTTTCATTACATTTAAGATGCTCGAGCTATCTTACAAAGTGAAACAAAACGTCTTTGGTCTTGAAGCAATTTTTTAGACTAATTCGATTCTACAATTCGCATGAAAATTGAGTCAAATTGGTCAAAACACTGAAATTGCTTTTTTATCAATTTTGTAAAAGCGGATATGGTTTCTTGACGGTCCCGAAAATCAGTGATTCCTCGGGTTCCAAATCACTTCCCATTCTTCATAGCGCCTTGAAACCGCCCTAAAGCTTTACTTTTCTGGGCAAAATTAGTTTTTATCAAGCGTTTGATTATTGTAATTATTCGGTCCGAAAAATGGCACTCCCAATCTCGCTTTTTCCGCTTATGAGTAAAGCGAAGGCGAGTCTTTCTTGGTTCCTGAACTCCTCTCTACTCAAAGGTGATTTAAGTAGGATATGAGCGTAGTTTCTTCCATTCCCCACTAGTCTTCAGTTTTGCATACAATTATGATAAGTGTCCTACGCTTCTTTGTTTTCATCGAAATGGTCCATATTACCTCAAACTCTCAAAATCGTTCCCTTATCACGGAACTTCTTAATAGCAATTCGAGTTGTTTTTAGCGGTACCCTCTCCTCCACATTCCTCCCATTTCTTCGGTACTCCATTCCTTGCTACCTACATCTTTAACCAAGGCAGAATTCTACTTTCTTCTCAAGAATTATTGCCGATTTTCATGTACCTCCTCATAATGTTAGATACTTCAGTCATAATCACTCCCTATTGACGAAACCGTTTCTTACTTAATTGCAGTTTAAATAGCCTGAATAATGGCTTTGTCCAATCCATTTATCTGCAGATTTTTGGTAGCGCGCCCTCCGAATCCACCGACTACCCCTTCCCCTCCACGGCCACAAACGCCAACAATGGAGGTGGTGGTAGTGGCGGTAGCGGTGTTGGAACCAAAAAAATTCCTCCTCCACGCCCCCCTAATCAGCCCAATGTTAACAAGACCGTGAGTTCCAGAGTAACTTATTGACGCCTTAAAGAGGGGTAGACAATAATTGAGTCTGATTTTAGTTATTACAGAAGGCCAATAGCGTGACGGAATCATCTCGCCACGGTGATTCACCGAAAAGTCGCTTCCGCAGCGCCCTTGACAAGATCGGAGGCAACGGGATCTCCTCACGCGGTCGCGGCGCGTTTCGTATTGCTAGTGTCGGAGGTGGAGGACGGGAAGCAGCAGCGGCTGCGGCATCAATGAATGAGGCGGAACAGATGCGTTGGGCCACCCGCGAGAGTCGGCGGGCGGCGCAGCAGGAGGAGAAACTGCGCGCTCAAGAAGAGGCCGATTTAGAGTTGGCGCTGCGGCTCTCGTATCTTGAAGCATTGGCACGAGGCACGAATTAGAAGATGCTTTGCGACGAGAATCTGCAAAATTATTAATACTTTTGGAATTGTTACTTGTAACCTCTGAGGCATACTCGAATGTGTATTTGATTCGCAGTGACTGATCAGTGACATTGCAATCACATTTTTCTTTCGGCCTGCCTCGCTATATGGCCCCTCTATCCGCCTAAGCCTGTCTCCGTCTTACTCCCTTAGCTAATAAGTAATTTGACGGATTGTGTTATTTATAATATAATCCCATGATCTCTTATCTGAATCTCAGGTTTAACTTACTGTAGGGTAAAAAGGGACTTTTTGGGATGAACAAGAACTTGCCGCGGTAGCATCACGGATGTGCGGTTATCGACATTTATGTTTTCAGACAAAGGTATCAATTCGTCGAATTTGGCCGACTTTTATCCCACTTTTTTAACGAACTATCGACCTCAAGTCCTTTGGGTGATAGTGCGTCCTGTGTCTGAGGTGGTGCGGCGAGGTGTTTGTCTGCAGGCGAATCATCAGGTGGGAGGCCCAAAAGCTGCTTCGGCGCGATGACGGCTTTGTGGTGCCACTACATCCTGGTGGCTGACGCTCGACTTAGCCAACAGAACAGGTGGATTTTGGTTATTTTCTGCTACTGGACCCCATTTTTCCAAATATTACCGGTTTGAGCGTCACTTTCTTCGACGGTGTAGCCGCCTATCAGGACTGGGTGGAGAGCTAAGTTATTAAAACAAAGGTATGGTTGAATGCGTTGATGGCCTTATGGCCATAATCCTTCTTAATGGGTAGCAGTTTACGCAACCGAGTTCCTTCTTTTAATAACCTATGGCCTGTCACGCCATCGCAAGTAAAGGCCTATAGATGTAATAGAGAGTGGGAAGCATGTGAACATTTTAGTGCCGTCATGGCCTGCTGAGACAGTCCCATATGTATTCATTTTAATAATTTGGGTAACACCAATCGAGTAAGCATTCTAAGGTTTTCTCATTGAGTGCATCATACATTATGGTAATAAAATTGCTTGGACGAAGAGGTCCCATTTTTCGTACGCCTTAAGGCCATCCAGGGGCTGTTACGATACGTACCAGCGTAAAGGTAGGCCATTTAACAAAGAAGAGGCGAAAGGATTTAGGCGTAGTTGAGGCTCTGTGCCGAAAAGCGGCTTTGCAAATTGCGTATGCTGAAGAGTTCGGGCTAATGGACACCCAATTGAGTAAAGCATTAAAAAGCTCCAGAACTATTGGTACTGTACTTTTAAAAGCTTCACCGATATTCAAATCTTAGAAGGTACTTATGAAGAAATGAAACCTCCTTTCGACTCCTGGCGATGCATTCCCCCTTTTAGGAAAAATGGCACAAAGTTGGTAATTCCAAAGAGAAATGAAATATCGGACAGTAGTAATTCGTATAGTTGATTGAGACTGCTAGTGATAGGTTAGTAATCTGACGCAACCAACTAAATTCTCAAGTTATTTGCTCAAACTAACATAATTACCAGATTTAAATCTGTATTAATAAGCCACACATGAGCGTTCTATGTGTTAGATCCCAGATATATCAAACAAACACATGTAATTGCTGAAGACGACTGCAGCTGCGTTGAAAATTGATGCACTTCAAACTTGCCAAAATTAAATGCTTTCTATATCTCATAATTTTGGGGCCATAGCGACAAGATACATGCAGCTAATAAAATGGCCCCCTTAGGAATTTTTTTGCATATTCAAGAAGTATGGAAATATGAGCTCCTTTCTGATTTTTGAATTCTGCCGTCAACCCGTGATTGCATTTCCGGCCATTAGATGTTGCTTCTCCATTATGCCAATAGGCATACAGCGTGTTCTGCCTCCATTTAACTCCGTAAAATGGTGTTTGGGTATGCTGCGTTGCGACCTCTCCTCAGGACGTCAATTTATTCCAGACCAACATTTCTCCTCAGGGCGATCCAACCATCTGTGCCAGTTATACTTAATACATCACCAAGGACTTATGCTGAACTACTTGTTCGAGCATTCTCTAGTGAGGTGAATCGTGCTGAATTTGAGGAGCGCGTGCTCAATGTTTGCAAAGCTTATGATCGTATAAACGCTGAAAAGGTTTGAAAAATTGTTTAGAAATAACAAAATATTAAAGCTGAGTCTAGACTCCCACTTTATTAATGATCTGGGTTTGGATAGTTTGGATCATATCGAAGTGATTATGGAAATTGAAAATGAATTCAGTAAGTTCAATTCTACAGAATAATACAGCTTTGTTGCTGTTATTTCCCCCAATTTTTTTCTTCTGGAACCTCTAGTGTTTCATTTAAACGTCTCTGTATTAAATGGATGAATACATTTGCAGAAGCCTTCACTGGGCTTCCATGAAATTTAAACCCGAATTTGCTTAACTGAGTTGAACTTCACATTATGACTTGAAATATTTATAGGTCTTGAAATTCCCGATGTCGAGGCAGAAAAGCTTATGACCCCCGCGCAAATCGTGGAAATGCTCTACCAGAAGAAGCTGCGAAAGACCAAAGTGACTGAGTAACTCTTCTACCGAGCTTTTACGCTTTTCTGATAATTTTTAGTACCTTTGTCAGTATACAGGTACTGTATATGCTAATGTCAGTTTTCTGGTGGAATCATCTTTTAATCGTCATGTTATTGTTGAGATGTCGGGTTGGGTGCTACAGCTCGTTTGCTGATGCATTCGCAGCGTCACATTTCCCAGTGGCACTTCGTGTCTTGTAATCTTCGACTTTCAATTTTTTATGTGTTAACGATACTGGTAGGAATGGTTTTAGTGTCTTCCGTCATGGAATACCCTAATTTTTGTAAAGGCGGATTATCGTATCAGTTCATTTTTTCCTGATTACTTCTTTTGCTGTTCAGTTCATTTGTGAATTAAGCATTTTTCGCATGCGCTAGTTAGCATTCGTCGCGCTTTTCGTGGTGCTACGACAATTATTTCTAAAGTATTACAAGGTTCGTTCTTTGTGTAGCGCTTTTACCACGATCTGCAGAACCTTGTTTCGCACGAACTACGCACTTGTCTGGGCTATTTCCTCTGTCACTGTCTCATGCTTACCCTGAGTTCATCTATTGAATTCTTGTACTGAACAATGCAAGGACACCATCCTGCAACGTTTGTTGCCAGACGGTTATGCATACCTAGATGATGTATTCCTTTTAAAGCCCGACGCGAACAATAGTACGGAATTATGGTCTCAACCCCTCAAGTGCCTCTCGTAGGTCCCCTGATATTCCGAATTCATGTTTGATCAGAACATTGTTAACAGGCTCCAGACTGTGTGACTAAAGGTTGGTGTCGGAGACAATGCTGTCTCTCAAAACGAGATGTCGACCTTGATCTCTCATCATTGATCCTACCCGCCATGTCATGGTCAGGGCGGTGCAACTGAACCTATTCCACATCCCAAATAGTCGTTGTTAGCGGATTCGGCAGCCATCAAATAGTTGTTTTCGGATTAACTATGCGCCAGCTACAGCGGACTTAGTTCACCTTCACTGCACAAAGGAAAAGGATTTGGCAATGTAACGTTCGATCAGTCAGCTCATGTGATGCGCTTTCTCGCCACTTGATTTTCTTCAAAAAGAAAAGCGGAGAGATAACATTGTCTTGGCTAGGAGATTTTGACTCAGCGCATGTGGTCTCACTCCCTTAAGCAGAAATTGTTATTATGTCCCCCATCCGGACCTTTAAAACATAACGTTCCCCTAGCCGTAAATACTCGGAAATGGCCCGACGGTGCTTCATGCTTAAATAGGCCTGTCCAGCACCACTTTTGGCTCAGAATGCTGTTGTTAACGCCATTATCAACTGGTGGCTAATTACTCTAAAAAAAGCCAAACTGCATGACAATAAAGCACCTCCCCCAACAAACAAATAAGTATGGAAATTGCCATATCGGTAATGTAATGTAGGACGAATAGGTATAATCACAGTCTGTAGGGTAGAGTAATTGGTTCGAGTCGTCACTAACGCGACGACTTCACACCCAGGAGTGTTTTCATCTGTCGGTTTTGCGTCGTCATGGTGTCCGAGACGCTCGACAACGCAGGTTCCATACGATCTAGCTGTTGGTTTTGCGCCTTTAGCTCTGCATTCATGGCCGTTGCCATATCCCGCAAGCGCGACATCCCTGACGACATAAGATCCATATTGACGTCGAACTGGGAACGCGGCTGTGTGGTCTAAAGGAAATAGAGAAAATGACGCCTACCTATTAGCAATCCAACCGGAACTGTATTTTAATCGACGTTTGACTACTCTCAAGGCAATTAAAGCTTGGAGTTGGATCGACCAACAACTCGCATTACTCAATTCATCCCCCCAAGATGTAGTAAATTATGCAATAGAGCCTCCAGTCTGGTGCCCCTCGGGTTATCTTTTTGGGCTGTTTCACCTCCCAGAGTATTGCGACCGACTGGGAGACAGGAATGAGATGAGCTTATGTGATGGCAGAAATGCGCCTTGGTTCACGGATGACGGTAATGTCCTTGATTTTGAAGTGATACGTCCTCTCCACCATCGGAGAGGAATTTATCCGAGAAGTGATGTTTAAGGCAAAGTAGCGATCTACAGCGCATTTTGTGCCAATCACTTTTGTAGTGACGTGGAAAACATGCACCATATCCAACTCTGGTCGGGCTTCACTACTGGTCGTTGGGCAGAAGTTGAGAAAGGGACATTTGCCAAAATTAGGCGCGACTTCGATAATCATTTAATTATGGCTCACTGCAGATTCAGTCATCCACAGCACATCCCCTTTTTCATGACGTTTTCCTGAGGCATTCAGTAAAAGTCGAAGTTATTTACTTATGAGGTACTTGCCATCACTGCCACCAACTCAGTAGCGGAAAAAATACCTCCAATTTATTTTCAAACGCATAAGCAGCAACTAACTAAAGCCCCATTAGCCGGGTCCTTTTAGCTCGGGGTGATAATGAAGGATTCAGTATCACTAAAACTGTTGCGTTTATTAAGGAGACTTTAAACCTATTTCAGATCAATGGGATTTATGGTATTCACAAACACTGGATGCTTCTCTTGTAGCGGTCGATGAGAAAAATTGCAATACACACCTGTGAAAGCCTAGTGTCATTTGGATTTCAGTTGAAGGGAACAAATTGATGATTATTTTTCATGGGGGTATGGCAATTTTAAACCACAGGAGGTAGTTGGAATTTAATCTCGCACGGTATCTATAAGTACTACAGATTTAAAACTTGACGGAAGGTCTTATAAAGCAAAATTTGCTTTAAAAAAGAGCTACCCACTAGTTCGCGAGAGTAAGAGCCTATATGTCCATGACTCAATCGCACAAAGTCCCGACCTCTCATTACTTGGTGAAATGATGGGTTAAACGCAAGAACAAGGATGACAACGCCGATTGAGTGATGATACCAAGGCTATTCAAGGGACTACTATTTGATGGAATGCAGCCTACTTGTACCTATTTAAGTAGCAACGTCCGGAGTTTGCATGATTTGGGGTTTCAGGAATGCGAAAATGAAAGCGAAGGCCGGGTTTACTTGCAACCAAATCAGACTAGTCCACTGAGATAAATTTATTTCTACCTGGGATTGAGGAAATGACTGGGATGACGGAGGTGGCACTGATCGAGCGTTCTGTGAGAGGTATGAAGCTGCTGGGGCAGGTTGATCCCTCGTGACTGGTGCTGCTGCTTCTACTTTGGTTGGTTCAGCCGTACAACCAGGTGCTGACCTTCAGAAATATCAGGAACCAATTTTTTGGGAAAAAAGCTCAACATCCAAACATATACCGTCTCTACAAGGCATTGTCATCTGCAACATTGATTTTGGCAATGAAAAACGTAGTGAAAGGCGCTTGCAAAGGTGAAAAATTAGTCACTCGACACAGCAAAAAGTAATCATCAAGCAGACATTTGTTAGGATTAGAGAAGTTGTCGCTGTAGTGAAATCAACAGAATAATTTCAGAACTTGAAATACTTGAGGGTAAAAGTGCTATTCGACTGTTACAAATCGTAAGTAGCAAAAAACATTAATGACAGTATGTCCAGAACCTTTCAAAACCAAATAAAGATTTCTCACAATTAGACTAGACAATCAGAGCGAATGCCAAATTCACAGAGGTTATAATACAAACTAGACAGCAGCCTCTCTATTTACGGCAAATAAAATAACCGTTTTCCAAACACCGAATCATCAATTCTCAGTCAAAATCAAGAGAGAACATTTGGTCAAGAAGAAAGCTATGCAAACCAGAGCAGAAACTACACATAGCTACAATAATTATTAATGCTGACTAATAAAGTTAACTAAATAAAGGTAAGCGTCAGAGGTAACGTCATCGCTTTCCTGATATTCCCCTAATAAGAATTCATAGGCAAATCTTCGAATGAAGAGAAGGTGAAAACGGTTCCGTAGAGCTTCAAAAAATGAAAAAAAAAAAACCCATTCAATGCTAGAGGTTAACCACATGAACTACAAAAAGCCATTCCAAAACTCTGGCAAAAAAAGACGACGTCATGGAGAGATTCACCTGTACTAAAAACAAAGTGGAAGAACATTCTCGAATGTCCAAAAACACAAGGGTTCAAACAGCCCCACATACTTCTTTGAGAACCAACCCCTCCACCAACTGTTGAGAGCATTGACACTTTTCTGACTGTCTTTCTGCAATTCACCAATTTGGTGGAGACGCCGTTCAGCGCGATCCAACTTTTCACCCTGCTCCGATAATTCTTCCAATGTGCTGATCCCAATATGCTCCGAATGACTCATGATGTCTAGCGCTCGCTGTTGGCTAGCCAGCGTTCGCGACTGCGGAGTCGCAAAAGCCTGAAATTTTTTAAGGTAATACCATTCAATGTGCTCAAATTAGTATGCATGTTAAAAAACAAGCAAACGTCTACTTCTAGCTGCATGTTTCGCGTGTCGTGGCGTTCCAAATATATGGGATTTAAAAGCGCTTAAATTAACCAAGGTTCCACTTACGAGGTTGTTGTCGCAGTTCGCATACTTTTTATCAAAAGGGTTTGTGGTGTGAGGACCAGAATCCCAAGAAGATGGTTCTTCATCGAATGGATTTTTTGACATAACTCTTCTGGCTGACTTGACAGGAAGTGATCGGAAAGGTCGTTTGGAAAGACAATCAAATCAGTTTGTTTAGCGCCTCTGAAAAGTTGCAGTACATTCAAGCATGGTTAAAAACCCAGTAGGGCATAGCTACAAAGTCATTACTTTTTCAAATTAATAATATTTTCGGTAACTGAAAACAACATTTTGTCACTGACATTGCAATTATCTAATAGAATTACTTAAAGTCAATTGTAATGCCCATCAAATTTTCAAAAGATGCACCAGTTGCACTATGATTTTCTAAAAAGCAGGTAAAATTGGGTAGATTCAATCGACTAACAGAACAATTTCTTGTAATTTACGCAAACATCATTTGCATTCAAAATACAAATGTTCACAATATATTTTGGTTAAAATCCACTTAACTAAATAAGTAAACCCTTAAGAAGGATTTTGGACTAAAAATATGATCTCTTTTAACGGTATGTTATCCTTGTTGTCAGCCCCTTCGGGATGCTGGCAAATTCTAATGAATTGGATACTATTGTAATACGATAGTGGTTTATCCCTCGGTTCTGGTGAGGCGCCACTTTTTGTACTTCGAATTAGCCCCCTTTTACCTCGCTGGGTAAGCTGGCCTTTTGGGCCATGCCAATAGCCCAGACACCTTCTCCGTGCTGAATATATATTCTGCCCGAGTATTGTGTCTTCTTTCGTCTTCAGGGAGTCCCGGGACGCTACACTGTGGCCTATCCTGAACACGGGAGAAGTCGTAATGCTAGGAGATGAGGTGCATCGCTGTCCTGTAGAAGGGCTGGGTGGCTAAGGATTTGGCTTAGGAGGTATTCCATGAAGTAAAACAAAGTGTCAGACTCTAAGGTTCGGGAAAACGAAACAAAAGGTTAATTAACTAACTAAAGCCGTACATAGCCTCCTCTCCTTTAGGCATCTTTCCTAACTTTCCATTTATACAAACTTTTGCTTAAATGATTATGAATTAATCAGCGCTCTTTGGAAAAATGCTACAAACCTATAACGTTAGTCATCGAATCCGTGAGAAGCTAGTATATTTGACCAAAACGCCTCTGACCGTTTACATTGTGAACTCTTTTGGAAGAAAACAGGGTTCACAATCCATCATATATGCTCATCGCTAGTTGCAGGACCATTGATCTAAATGCATACGCCTTCAAAAGTTTGTGGTTTAAATTAGTTTTGTGGGGAAAAGGTTTTGCTTTTATTACTTCCTGCTACTTTTTATCAACTTTATTAATGCCTATCCATATGGATGTAGTGGTCAGAAACCATTTTTTGGCCTCTAAAACCTAAACCTTGCAACAATCATATTAGTAATTTATACTATTACTCGCAGTGCATCGCCACCGCATTAATTTCACACTTGTGTGTGATTAGATGCAAAATCGAGTAGCAAGAAACCTGGCTTGTTTGATGATGATGCCACTCACCGATTTTTATGGTGGAATTATGGAAGAGAAATCATAGACCTTCCTTCATTTTGCACATCGCGCATTATGGATCTTGTATTCCTTACTAAGTGATTGACACCTATCAAATTTTTGGTAGCAGTAGATCCAAATTTGCTGGTATTCACTCTACCCTATTTCGAACCCGTCGGTCAATGTAAAGCGGTGTTTGTCTTCCTGCGGAAGAGCGCTCGATTCAGAATACCTAAATAGTTGTTCAAAATGGACAACGATGGGAAGGTTGGTTATTCCGTGTAATATTCTTACCGTTAACTTAGAAACCTTTTGCTTTTCCCGTAATGAAAAAGTCAATAGAAGAGTTGTTCATGAACGGAACGACTAGCAAGGAGGATATAGAGCGTTTTCAAGAAAAGTATTGGGAACAAATGGTGCCGAATTTCAGTCAGGCTCTCAAAATTCTTGACCTTCACGATGTTAGTCGTCATAGCGTTCTATGGGTAGATTTTATTGCTTCATTTCATTTGCAGCTAGAACATAAACGATCGCCTTTTGGAAGCTGTTAAGTCGCGCATTTTGGCGAAAGCCGCCGAGGGGGGCGATGATAAAAAACACCAAAAGCTCTGGCAAAAGTTGATTCGTACTGGCATGATCTATATTCATCATCCATACATGCGGTCAGCTATTATGATGGTGTGTCAGCTTTCGAAATATCTATTCAACTTAGGTTCTTGGGCAAATGAACTCAATTAAAAGTCGTTACGTCTCCTTGATCGTTGACAACAACTATCTGTATAAAGATGCCCCTCTTCCAGTCCTTCGTCATATTTGGATGACTAATCAAAAAAAGTGGGATTCCCGCCTGGTTCTTATTTTGGGCTTGATGTAGATTTAAAGAGGAGATAATGAACGTTTTGAACGCCTATCAAAATGCAATGTCAGAGGCACTACTCGATTCTCTTTTGGCTTCTGTAACTTCAGCCAATGCTGACACCTTGCCTATTCTCTACTGGCCCCAACGTCGGCGTCGGAAAGACCTGTCTTTGATAAAAATTGTCGAAATGATAGGAGAAAACGAGAATCTTTATGAAAAAGTAAGCTGTTGAAAGTCTCATCGCTTCTTTTAGGCGCTTGAAATTTTGCGGGAGGAGAGTGTAAAATATCAACAGTTGATAGAAAAGTCTGCCACCCGTAGAACAGTTTCGACCAGTGAATGCATCAAGAAGCTCACGGATAGTAAGGCAGGCAAAGGTGGTAGTCAAAAGAAGGAGGAAAGTGTTACATTTCACCACATTTTCATTTCGCCCGCCCTTCTGCCTGCCCCGCAGTCTTTAGCGGCCGCACTGCTCTGCACCCTTCGTTTTGATCTCCTTATGAGCTTCATCGAGGCCAAGCTGGACCGGATTTGTGTAACAGATCCGATCCATCACTTTGTCTGGTGCATGGATGCCTGCATCAAGAGCAAGCGGATCGACCGTCGTCATGCCAATGAGCTGGCAGCTCATTTGAACCGACACCACAGGCGCCATTCCATCCATTTGTCTCTCTCCTCCGAGATTGGACTGGATCAGGATACTTCTGAGGACTGGGCCCCCAACTTAGATGAACGTGGAGGTCGAAAAAAGTCGATGAGAACTCAAAGAGCTGGCGAGAAACGCGCGTTGGAGGAGGTGGAGGTGGACTCAGATGATGGGCCATCTAAATCGGATCAGGGAGTTTTAGCCTTCCAACGGTTTGCTCGATTTTGGAATCTCATGCCGTATTTTAGAGATATACAGATTGTATGTCGTGATCCCTGGGTTGTGTACACCGTGTGTTCCTCCCTCCTCAGGGTTGTTATAACGGGTTTATATGATGATAAGTCACCTAAGGTAGGCGACTTCATATTCTCCATTAGATTATCATTAGAGCATCCCTGAAGTTCCATTTCTCGTTCATTTGCTAATGCGAGGCTTGGAGAGTGATTTGTGCCTACCGGAGGTGGTTTTGAACAAGGAGATATCGAAATCAGAGCCGAAGAATAAGCGATCCCGTAAGCACGTGGTCCATGAAGAATCGCCAACTCCACCGCCGCAATCAAAGTTGGACCCAGCGACGGTTCTCATCACCCAAGTTCTCCCAGCCGCAGCGCAGCTCCATCTCACCACCTGGCGTAGCCAGGTTTGTGAAGAAATTCGTAGCATAGCGAATCGAATTTGGCCCAAATCCGGTGCTGGCGGAAGCGACTCCTCCTCCCACTTGCGTCCCTCTGCCACATGGCAACGTCGTCTTGATGGTAAGCCTACGCCTCTTTAAGGGTTCAGTACCTCTCTTCCCTTTTAGCTGCTCAGCCTATAAACGTTGCGATTTCACCCGCCTATTTGGCTCATCCGGTGGGACATTTTTTCCTCCAATATCACGCTCTCTTTGCACTGGAACGTCGTGAATGGACGGTTCTCCGAGCTCTCCTCAAGGCTGCAGCAGGGGCTGCTCAAGCAAGACCCTCAAAAGCGCCCCGTTCATCGAAATGTGTATCTTCTTCACCGATGCCTGCGTCTTTAAACCAGCTCACAATCGGATTCCGCTGGCGTCCGGATTGTCTGCAAGCAATTTCATTAGGAATTGCATCTCTGCCTGTCTCCTCGGACGACTCAACAACAGGAAGTGGTGCGTCGGTTCCATCAACGCCTGCTACGTCTGACGGAGGCAGTGGTAGTGGATTTATGTCGGAAAAGTCGTCTGCCGGAGCCACTGATCCCTCCCCGGCTTCCTCCACAACAGGTGCGACCTCGCCCCTCCCTTCTGCCACAGCTGTGTCCACCATTGCAAATAATGCTAGCTTTTCCACTGTGACTCGCGCGGAGCTAGCTAGCCTGCTCCGCACCAGCCTGCCTCTTCAAAGCGATCTCCAACTCCTGGTTCTTGCACAGTGCGCTAGGTTGGTCCCTGCAACACCCTCTACTCCAACCACCCCAGGCTCAACGGGTGCGGTCACTCCGATGCCGAATTTCTTCTCCACTACCGAAATGGGGGTGTCTACGAATGTTGCACCTCGAAGTGTTAGTGAAAAGGAGAGATTACTCAATGCTTTGTCTCGGCACGTGGAGTATCCGCCCCAAGAAAGTAGTAGTGGTGCGGGAGAGGATCATTCTGTAGTCTCTCCTCCTCTCACACCTACGGGATTCAAATCGTCCAACGCGAAGGTTGTGGAAGCTCTCGAAACTCTTCGGCGGGAGTTGGAACGATCCACAGTGCATAAAAGCATCTTTATTTTGTTATCCTTATCCCATACAGTAGTTTTATAAGTGTATATTTTCCCTCATTAGTCCGCCGGGACGATTTCAATGATGGGGACATCGAAACTGGCTTCTGGAATGTCGGCAACACCGCTGAGTCCGTTGAGTGGTGGAGGAACAATGTCGCAGCAGCAGTGTGGGATGGCTTTACCGAGTAGACTTATGCCACCTCCAATGCGTTTTGTCCCACGCTCTGGTGGAGCTCGCTACGTGGCAGGGATGAATACGTTCCCCATGGCAACACCTCTAACCAATCCTGGGTTGTCAATGCCTCCACCGCCGTCACCACTAGCACCCCCGCCTGGGAGACTCCTGCCGTCGCCACCGTTAGCGGATTATCGACCGCCGTCGCCCGGTGTCGACGCATCTTCGGCAGTTGCTGGAAGCGGTAGCACTGGCAGTAGTTATCCCACCTATGCGACTCCAATGGGAACAGATATGGGGGAGGGAGGATGTGGATTGGGCAGCTACTCGGTGTCATTGTCACCGACTGGAGATTTAAGGCGCTACGCTGCTCCGATGGAATCACATTCGCCGTCATCACCGCCGCAGCCGCCGGCATCACCGTGAAAATGGATGTTTGCTGTTATTGTTGTACAGTCGGGTTTTCTTGATTTCATCTCTTTTTTCTCATTCTGGTGTTTCTACGATTACTAGCTGGGGGGCGCATTAAATTGAGTTGTTATCCTAGCTATGGCCAAGGGAGACGCGTAAAAGATGTCGACGGGTGTTTGTTTGAAGTGTTCTTGCGCAAATTGGGGGTCGGGGTCTGTTCGAACTCAATTCACGGGCCCAATTATGGCAATACGATGAGTTGCCCAGGGTGGCGAGCCTCCCAGTTTTGGTATTTCTTGCTTTACTCCAGCGGGTTAATCCTCTGGCTAGGGGTATAACCTCCCAGCCCTTCCGTACGTCAACAGTGGATCTTCCTCCTCAGTAGTGTGTCCTGTTAAAACTTCATCCAAAAGAAAACTGCGGTGACGTGCGTGTTTAATCTACAAAGATGCATAGCCTGGTCATGTCTATTGACAAACAACGTCATGCGAGAGGGGGGTTTTCGCAGATGGACGGGTCTGGGGAGGCTCAACAAAATGGATAGCATAGGGCTTACGTTCGTGACCATACCGAAATTCGAGAGGCTATTTTATATCCGGCCTTCAATTAAAGACCTCTGGCGCGGAACCTGTGCTCCCAGAGAAGTAGCCTTTGGGGTAAGAGCTACATTCGTTGTAGAGCATTGCCTAGCCTTGAGTGGTGTGAATCAGCATAGTTTTAAATTTATCCCTCCCAATAAGGCAAAGATATTAGAGAACTTAACTCTACTTACTAAAGGACCAATATAACGTATTAATGACTTTTAAATGAGCAAGTTTTATCATCACTAGGATAGTATGATGAACAACGCTCCATTCCCCTTGGGGAGTTTCCAGACCATCGATTTGGATGTAGTAACCACTGCAGAAGTTTGACCAAGGTAAGACGACGAACAACTCTGCAAAGGAAAATTGCATAGTAGTGCGATACTCTGTTTAAATACGCTTCAAAATTTGAGGACCCTTCGTTTTCCAAAGGTCGCTATTTGTCTGTTTGGCATGATCATTCGCTGCATTAGGACACTACTTCGGTTGCTTTGGTGAATCATTACTACTACAGCAGAAGTAACAAAGTTCTAAAAGCAGGTTAAACATATTAAAGTACTTTAAATATCTCAAGACAAATAGCCTCCCTGTAGTTTCATTCAAAATGGTAAGTTTGTTTGGCCTGTATTGTGTTACAATTCAGTTTTGTGGGGAACACTCATTAAACAATTCGTCTAGGCATTGAAGCTAATAGATTGCTGCTTTGAAAAAGGCATAAGTTCCATTGGCTGAGATTTAGACATTATTGCCATCAAAACCTTAAAAAGTAGTATAAATTAATGAATAAATGTCTTTTTTGATTTGTTTTTGTAAAAATTGCAACAGCATGCCTAAATCTAAAATACGGTGTTTAAGTTTGTTTTAGCGCACCATTTCTATCTTGATGTTTATATGCTTGCCTATAGTCACGTCAGCGGTCTTCAAATCTGTTTTCTAATGTTTTGAAGTTTGATTCAAGAAACTGTGTTTTTCCTGAGCATTTGGAACCAAATACCAGTAGGCTTTGTTACATGAGTCTTTTAATATATGCGCTGTAATCGCTACCCTGCATTTATTTATTGCAACTTGCTTTGGTTAAACTAATACGGAATTTTTTGACGGTTGCTAGTGTTATGCAAGCATACCCTTGGGCTTTTTAAGAAGCACAATAGCATACTTGTAGAATTACTAGGATTCCTAGTGCCATCGAATGTCTTTTATTGCTGTGGTTTGTTACCAGATGTAGCTGAATTTGGGCGTCCTGATAATAATTGGCTGCTTACATTATTAATAATCATTTCAAGAATTGGATATCCTCTCCAAGCCTAAAGCTTGTCTTCTATGGTATGTCTTTGTTCATGATTATGATACCACGAAGTAGCAGCAATTTTAATAGGACATTTTAGCGTATAATTGTCTAGTTCTTGCTGTACATACCCATAATCCTTGTTCATTTTTTGCATCTGCTTGATGTCATATCATTAGAAGAACAAATTATTGTTATTTCCTTGGCAAAAAAACTCAGTGGCTTTTCTCACCGTATCATTAAAACATGCATCAGCGTATAAATTTAAAGCAATATTGCTTTTTTCGGAGATGAACTTGTGAAAATTCAGTGGATTTTTTCCACTGCCAGTTCTAAACTTGGTGTCTCGGGGTTTTCTACCGGGATTTATATGGTCTCTATCAAAAATCTGCTATGCTGCTATGCTTTATTAGTTTGGGGTGGAAAGATGAGGAGTCGTTATTTTTTTCTTCATTTTAGAGATGACATCAACCTCAAGCGATATTGTGGCCCTGGGAACTGTTATCAAGGATCGGTGGAAGGTGAGCAAAAAGCTCGGTGGTGGGGGTTTCGGTGAGATTTATGAAGCGTTGGATACCATGACGCAACAAAAGGTTGCCATCAAGGTGGAGTCCTCGCAACAGACTAAACAAGTGCTTAAAATGGAGGTCGCTGTTCTCAAGCGTCTACAGGGCAAACCCCATGTCTGCCGTTTCATTGGGTGCGGTCGAAATGAGCACTACAACTATATTGTCATGACTTTGCAGGGTCGCAATCTCGCCGATCTGCGGCGTTCCACAAGACGCGGTTACTTCTCTATATCTACTACGGTTCGATTGGCACGACAAATCCTCACTGCTATTGAAAGTATACACTCGGTGGGATTTCTACATCGTGATATTAAACCCTCCAATTTCGCTCTTGGAAACGGTGTCGGCCCAGGTTCTGTCAGTCCAAGAAGTATTGTCATGCTTGACTTTGGTCTAGCGCGTCAATACACCACTACTGGCGGTGATATTCGACCTCCTAGACAGGTCGCTGGTTTTCGTGGAACTGTGCGCTACGCCTCGGTCAATGCTCACCTTAACAAGGAGCTTGGAAGGCAGGATGATCTCTGGTCACTCTACTATATGTTAGCCGAGTTCATAACCGGTGAACTGCCCTGGCGCAAGACGAAGGACAAAGAGCAGGTTGGCATCATGAAACAGTCCTTTGATCAAAACCAACTTCTTAAATTTATGCCTCGCGAATTTCGCGCGTTCCTTGAACACATTCAGAGTCTGACCTACTTTGATAAACCTGATTATCAGTATCTGCAGTCGCTGCTCAACAACTATATGGAAAGACGCTCTATCAATGATAGTGATCCCTTTGATTGGGAGGTCACAAATGATCACTCTGGTGCCATGAGTGAGACCAACCAGCATCACATGAACCTCCCAGCTAACGGCAATGCAGAAAATAACCGTGGGACCACTGATGCTAAAGCTACTAGGGGTTCAGTTCTGGGTGCTAACGGGGCTGTAGCTCCTACGGCCAGTGGCGCCGGTCTAGTGGTAACCAGTGGATTCTACTCTGGTGTTCGGGCTATGGCCTGCTCTGCTAAAATGCAAACGGATGCCTCCGCGGTCACAAATGGTGGTAACGTCTGTCCCGGTGGTGCTGGCTCCGGTTTTGGAGGCTCCTCTCCTAATGTGTATAAGCTTGCCGGAGGCAGCGGAGTTGCTAAACGCTCCGTTGAAGAAGCAGTAATCAATAACAATGGGGACCAGACCCGCGCGACTGCGGCGGCTTCATCAACTGCGGCAGTTGCTGGATCTGTCAGTATCCACAAAATGCCCTACTCTTCGTACTTCCGTTCAGGTGGTGCTAACAACTCTACCACTCCGCGCTACCTGAAGGAGGTGAAGGCAGCCACTAGAACGCGGGATCAAAAGACAACAATTTCACGGCCCTCCAATCTGAGTAAACCGCGAGAGGAGGGGGAGAGGAAGCCGCCTTCAGACGAGGGTGCAAATAACAAATCGATTTTATGGAGTCGTCGACCCATTAGCGCGAGCACCAGCAATATTCGCGGCAGCATTGGACCTGCAGGTAGTACCGCCAGTCTCACTAATATCGGCCGAAACGACACTAGCTGCACTCATGCGGTTGTGGTGATGGTGGACCAAGAGGGTATCCCAGACGTAACTCGTGCTGGGGCCTATACTTTCGCCAGTCAATGGGGTGGCACTGGTGGAGAAGGAGAGAGTGGTAATGACTCGAGAATTTCCGAGGATGAGGCAGAAGCTGGCGCTGGAGGCGGTGGTGGTGGCGTCGCTTCCCTAGCCAAACGCCTTCATGGTGAATGCGCAGAACCAGCAGAATGTCATCTGCCCCCCCCACCACTATCCCCTGGCGAGACCAATGCAGACGAATGTAATAACAATCATGGTCTCACTTCTGGGGTGCACAAATCTACTCTTCCACGTCTCTACATGCCATCTCTCGCCACACCCGCCTTCACTCCGCAACTCTACTCTCGCTCACCCTCAATCTCCTCTCAAGGAGGTGTTGGTCGCAAACTCCAGACCGCGTCAAATCGGCGTCGGCGCTTAAGTTCGGACATTCGAGCCAAGTCACGGACTCCGGAAACCACTTCGCTATTACCCCCACGTTGCGTTGGGTCTTCGGGTTCGATTGTGGCCACTCCTGGTAGTGAGAGCAGTGGCTATCACTCTTCCTATCAGCATCAGCATCCTCCGATGCCAGAATTCTCACTACCTGCAGGGCATATGCGCTCCTGGCCACCAGAAACTGTGGCTCGAAAAGTCTCTGGCCTAGCGTTGAGACGGCCCACAGGTCTATTGCCGACTGCGCGGTTTCCAACAGTCCTGACAAACGTCACCACGTGTTTGGTCTCCACGGAGACACCACGAGAGTCGGTACCGACTCTGGATTCTCCCTCCGATGTTAGGGAGACCTTGGAACCGCAACGAATCACGGTAGGGATGGAAGAGATATCTGCCGTGCCAGCCGTTTCAATGCCGCCCTTCACTGCTAAACCACCGCCTTGTCAGGACCCACCGCAGGAGGTACTTGTGCTCGGTGAAAACACGGAGGAGCAGGAAGGAGAGGCGGAGGTGAAAGGAATCATAGTGAGTTATTGACTTTTCCACCGCTCTGGTTAAAATGAGTCCTTAGTGTTCAAAGTCTAGCATATTAATTATGGGAGGTATTCTGCTGCTTTTTCTCTCCATATGTCTCTACTTTTGATACCTTGAGCTCTTGGTTCTTGCCTTTTATATGGAAAGCGAAGTATTGCCAATGGTTGTCCTCTAGTGGTTACGCATCAACGTTAGCTGAAACAGTACATGCGTGCTACTTTTTAGGGATCAAATTTCAGCTTGATTCTCATCGCTTTGCACACCTTTATCGGATTTTAAAATTGCAATTTTTTTGTTGTTCATGAAGCTTTTGGCCCCTTCTTGAAACTCTACACATTGCGTTTGGTTCATTCTGCCAATAACGGCAATTAGCATCCGCCTTATGAGATTTTCCCGAGAAGTTACCCTTTTTGTAGGATTCCAAAGTGTTTGTCGGATTTCGGCCTTAGGGAATTTGGTTTAACGTATTTTAACTTCTCTTTTCTCCCACTGTCTTTGTAAAGATGTTTTTATTCTGTTCAAGAAATTCGGTGGCAGTGGAAATACATGCCCTCTCAACTTTTTTTATCTGATAGTAGTAAAGCATTTATTTTTTGGCTTCTTTAATCGCTGGAAATTTAGTTTGAACTTGGAAACGTAAGTACTAGCGTTTTCGCTTATGAAGACATTCTACGTAGTTTTTTTGCTCATAGTTTTTTATTATAAGGCCAGTTCCCTTTCATTTTATTGACTCAAGTATGTGAAATTGCACAAGTTTGCTTAAAGTTCCAGGTTCGTTAGTGAATCAAACATATTTTTCGGGATTCTACATCTCCCCATCCTTCTAGAATAAATTGTGCTGAATTTATAAAACAGCCAATTCTATCTAAGGAAAAATAGTTCTATTATGCAAATATCAAAGAAATCGCCCCTTATTCCATCAAATAGTTGTCTGGGGGTGTGGTTTGTTATGACTGTCCTCCTAGTCCTGGGTTGGAATTACTTCACCTTTTCGGTGAGCCACAGACATCCTAACAACCGTTGTTCATTGATTCCCTCATTCAGTTGTTGAATCATCTAACTCATCTTAATCGGCCCATTTGGGTGCGTCGATTAGCTCTAGTATTCCCACAAGTTGGTGTTGGTACGATCTCTTGTGCAGAAAAATCCAATTACCGGATGCATTGTCGAAATGTTGAATTTTTCAACTTTTCTTGTGTGTATGCGTGCCGGAAATTTTAACACCTTTTAAGTAAGTTTTATTTTTAATCTATGGAAGTTGATTTGGCTGAATTGAAAGGCGGTAAATTTAGTTGAAAAAAATATCAAGAGGGACCAAAAGTTATTAATTGATGGAGAAAATATGATTGTATTTATGGTGGTTCAATTGCTGGGATTGTTGTAAATCATATGCAAAATAATCTGCTTCACCTTTCTTTTAGGAATCACGATGCTTGTTATTATTTTTTCCTCCTTTTCTTCACAAGACAAAATAAGCATCTTCACGTGAGGTAAAACTGCGAATTTGGTGTCTTCTGTAATTACGTTTCTCTAGTCTCATTCTCCTTCCGTAAGTCCTCAGTGAAACAACTTGGAAAAGATGGCAATTTGTGACGCAAACCAAATTTCTTCTCTCCCGATATACACTTTTTTAGGCTTACAAAAAGGGGCGATTCACAAAGTTAATAAATAGAAAACAGTTAATTTTGAATTTCCACTTGTAAAGGATTGGTAATTGTAAGCAATACACGAAAATAATGTTAAAAAATACTTTGATAAGTGAGATGTCGCGACATAAACGCATATTAGTCACTATGAAGCTCTCAAGTCTATGTTATCTCCTTTCCAAGTGAATTTGCATTGACTTTTTCACCTTAGCTTCTGTCTCAAAGAATAAGCTCTCAATTTATGTTTCACCGAGCTAAAGGCAGATGGCATCATTAATGTCATTTCTCGATATATGTGCTTGTATGCATTGCCTATATGTGGTTTCCCAGTTCTTGATTTTCGTGCAAAGACCAGTACCACTTCATTGTGGTGTTTACACATCCACCTACACACACGGATGTAAGTTGAACATGAAAAATAAAGCGGTGTATCTTCACGTTCCTTTCATTCACTCCAGGGTCGTTGGTAGGGTAGGCCTGTAGGAAAACCAAAAAGTGCTAATTTAATGTAAAATTACAAGCTTAAGCATGAATTTATTATTCCAGAAAGTGAGTACCTGTTTTGAAGCATTCCAGTGAAAACGAGAGATTTTTATCACCTAAACTGTTCATAAGAATTACCTTTGAGGAAATTCTTTCACATCTAGTGCAATTCGTCTAATTATTTAACTTCAATTTGTTCACTCATTTGCAACCACTGGAACCTACTTGATGTTGGTTCGCGTCTCTCATACAGCAGAGGATCAACTCATTTTCTTGTTTTCAATCTCCGAGAGAGAATTTCTCCAACCAACGGACAATGAGCCGTGTGTACGTCTGCTGTCTGAACACTACTCTTTGATGCTTGAATGTCTGCCTTACGTATCCACTTTGTACTCCGTATTCAGAGGCATTATCAAGTTTTGACTTTTCTCGGACCTTATATTATTTTGTAGGTATCATATTCGTGGAGCCTCATTGCACTATTAAGCACTTATTCCATCCTACCAAAGTTCCCTTTCTTAATAGGAATTGTTTTGCTTATTCTCTCGTCAATTCGAATAAAGTTATTTACTTTTAGATCTCTAGCATACACATTCGACTTATTTATTGGTTGGGCAAGTTAACGTGGTGTCTTTGCCAAATTGTATTATCACCTGTTAATTGGAATTACCCAGTCGAGCCCATAGCCCACCCCACCACACCTTTCCGCATAATCCACATTTGTCAAGGTCTCACTTCTCACAGCACCTAATGCCTTCTCTCCTGTCGCAATTGGGAGCAACTTGGCTTTCGTCAACTGCCCACATGGGACACAATTAATGCTCCAACGGTGATGTGACTAATTCACCCGCAATCGCGGCTCTACTGTGGGGTGTTTGTGAAAGTGTGAACTTGTCGTGAGGGCAGGTCGTCGTGCGCACACCATTGTCGTGAGGACATGTGACTGAGTCAATGCCAGTGTCAGTGTCGACACCAGGTCAGTGTCCTGCCCCCCTTCCAGCGCATTCACGCACGCAGCAGTGGTGACCACTTCTGGCTGTCAAGACGTGGACGTGGCAGTTTGTGCTTCACATAGCCTAGACATAGACATGTGCATTCAATCGTTGTTCGTAGCCTTGATCACATCATTGATGACCAAATGGTTGCGTTCTTCAGTTGTATCAAGGATGAGGAGGAATCACGGACCACGCACCATGTCGCGTCTTTGGTTGGTGTCTCCCTGTCTTTGAAGGGCTAACAGTGATGCAGCATTCCTTTCCCAAGTCATCACTTTATTTCAAGTACAGTTTGGGTAGTAAGGTAGTGACTCAACGTTCTGCCGACCTCTGGCCTCCAGTCTCCAGTCTTCGGCCTCTAGCTCCTACCACCTAACCATGCCATATTCGGACGTTCTATCACATAAACGAGACTGCATAATGCAAGCACAAATACTTCTATTTACTCAGTTGCGCACAACGAATGAGGCCTTTCGACTGGTTTATGAATCAGTGACGAGTGTTTGGATGCACGTTATTTTTCCTCTTTTCCATTTCATCATGTGCGATTTGTGACTGGTGATTTTGTGTGTCTATTTCGGGCGTTTGTTTCACACGATGGTGTTGTCAAGTTACTTGGTCACCGAGTGGGTCAAAGTGTGTAGGCAGGGTACTTGCAATGCTGTTGCCTCCAACCGAGTGGGTGCTCTTTGTCCCATGCAGTATGGGAGCGGTAGAACCAGGCGATTGGTCGTGGGAAAGCAACGTCGTGGACCGCGGGTGTGACTTGTGCTCTGTACTCAGTGAAGCAGTGGAGTGACTTCTTTCACGATGTGCTGTGCTTCCCAAAGTTGGCAGCTCACGCACCTCACCACACCTTCTAGGGTTGATGTGGTGGTGGTGGTGGTGGTGGTGGTGGTGGTGGTGGTGGTGGTGGTGGTGGTGGTGGTGGTGGTGGTGGTGGTGGTGAGTTCGCCTGCATTGCATGACCTTGAACTCTCTTTAACCGATGAATGTTGTTAACGCCCTAAGTATTAAACGTGTCTGTGTGCTTTAAACACTGTCTGATCTGATCAGCCCTGATTAGCAGCTGCAGGCGTGAAAAGTGTGAGATGCTTTGGGAAATGTGGTGACTGGGGTACAACCTGCTGAAGTGTTTCTAGAATCAAAGCTTAAGCTTGTCAAATCGGGACCTTTTTTACGGAAACTGAATTTCCTATGACTGTTGTCAAATTGTCGATTTCGTGTTTCATTTTTTTCAGAAAACAATCCTAGCTGTAATATCATATCATATTGTTTTACGCCACTTTCGTTTATTGAATGGTTCAAATAAGCAAAATTAGTATTAACGTTTGTGGGCTACCTTTCCTCTTTCTGTTCCCTTTGCTTTCACAAATGGATTTTTTGAGTTTGTATTTATGACCTCGGCTGTTTGAGACAGAATTACTCAAAAATGCCGTTGTTTAATCCTGTTTGTTTATTTCCTGCGTTGGTTTTTTCTATCACTACTTTTCCGGGCGTTTGGATAGCCCTATTACCTGTCAACGTTTCAATGAAATTCCACATTCCGTTTCAAAATTATCAGTTTCTTCTATACCAAGTCGGTTATGCTTGGGGCCTGGTTCAAAGTAGCTGCTGCTATGGTATGAATTTTTGTGAATTGGTAGTCTACGTGAGGCTTATTTGGCATTCTCATTGTCTTTTTTATGGCGCTTACGACTTGACATATTACAATTTTTTCCACTTTTTCTGCTTACCGATGCTTTGGTACTCTACTCATTAAATTGCTTTACTTGATCTCTTTTGGGTCAATGCCTGTTACTGGATTAGGATGAACGGTACCTCAGGCGTTATGCCGTCTTAGGTGTCTTCTCCTCTCCAATCAAATGTTTGTCGGCATAACAATTCTGATGTATCTGATATCATTGCTTTCTTCAAAAAAGGAACACCTTTAAAACCGACACTTTTTGGACTAAATTCAATTAATTTTTAATTATGGAAGGTCTCGCTTACTTCCTCATCTGGTGCCTTTAGAATGAAGCACGTGGATTCTCTTCACGATGATTACCATCGAGTTTCATAAAAGTACTTATCTAACGGGCGGTGATGGGTATTTTAGAATTCAGCTTCATACCTTCTCTTCCTTTGAGAAGGCAAAAAATTCAAAAAAAACCGGTTTTTAAGACATTGAAATGGGCAGCAATAGCCAAGATTCCAAAACAGATTGCAGAATAATCTAGATACATGGGAGTTCAGATAAATAGATAGATAGGTCGTGAAGTAGTTCAAACACGCAGAATTTGCATATATTTCAGGCTGAAGGAGGCGAACATTCTCTCCGCTCAACACTTGATCGTCCTCACGTGGGTCCAGAAGCGGTACCCTCTGGAACCCCCGATTCCACGACCAATGTTGTGGAACCACCCTGTGGAGCACATCAAGAGACGCTTCCAGCTCCCATTCTCGCCCCCACCACTTAAGAACTGGGATCTCGCACTCCGTATCCACATTTTTTGTCCCTCATTGTAGATATCCCTCTTATTCTGTCTTCATTTATCTTCTCATTTGTACATCCTAATTTATTCCTTCCCTATGACGCACTCATCCGTTTTATTTCACATGTTGGAAAAATTTACACACACTTTCACCAAAAAAAACGTGCACAGAAAACAAACCTAGAAAAAAAACCCGTGGAGTTGCAGAAATAGTGACGAGCGGGTGCTTACTGTCTTTCATTTCTCTCTATCTCTCCTCCTCCGAGTAAGCGACCTCTGCCGTCACCGTGAAATCAAAAGGTAGTCTCAAAAGCTGTGCTCATACCCCATCCTCTCCTAGGTTGCTGATTTCTTTACGCTCCCCTTCTTCATCCCCCAAGCTAGAGTCTTTCAGTCCTTGGGATGACTGTGATAGACGCTGAGACAGAAGTGAATGCTGTGTTGTTGGCAAATCCCATCATTCCCTCCTTTACCCCCACCTCCTCCCTCTTCCCTCCTCCTCTGTCTGTCAAACTCCAAGCCAGAAAGTCTTATTTTGCCTGCGGATGAGACTACTCTAATGTATTTCTTCTAAAAGTACATTTTAAGGCAGCCTTGTTTCTACCGTCGGCCGCAGTGCATGGCTGGAACCTTTATGTCTCTCTCTATGTCTCCATGTTCTCCTCCCTCTCTACCTCTCGATCACATACTTGAAAGCCAAAACTCGCACCCACACTCGCCTTTCGTTTTAGGGATTACACTGTTCGAATATAATTACATACTAGCTCGATAGGGGTTAGAGCGTATGCACTTCAACTGTCGTTCCTCCCACTGGCAATTTCGAGGCGTACTCGACGGAGGGATTTCATTATCAGGGAGATAGGTTTGTCCCTCTTAATGGAGTGGGTGGGCACCATCACCACTAAACAATACTAGGTTATTTCACTTTTTTTGATGCCTTTCAAATTCATAGATTGAGAAGAGGTGGAAAGTGGGTTTATCCGGATTCCATGAAACTGTAGGTGTGTGGATTTTATTCTTCGAAATTCCCGAGAAATGTACACTTGACCAAGGTCAAGGGAAAGAACCCTTATCTATCCACTTTATCTGGGAGCGTGCTTACGGCCACCTTGGGCGAAAAATATGCAAGCTTACATTGAAGGCTTTTTGGCCAGAGCATGCAGGAATGCTAGGACACAGGATTTCCACAGCTGGGAGATGTTTGCTACATGCGAACTGATCGAGGGCTAGGTCGGTTGTCACTTGTCCAATTAACTCCTGAAAAGTGTGTGTAAGGAGAATGTGGCAAGGAAGGGGGAAAAATATCTTTTCCCCTTTGATGGGCTTGGATTACAACAGGCTGAAGGTCCCCATGGCCGATGGGGGGTGGGCGTCGGCGAAGACCGATCAGCTTGTGTGTTGGAAGCCAAATTTCCAAATAAATCTTAAAAGACTACGTGGTGCGTCTATTAGTTTGTTATCAGTGGTGGTGTGGAGGGAGGGGGCGTGGAGGATTAAATCAGTGGCAAGATTGGACCGAAGTAGTTCCTGTCTCCATCGTGCCTAAATGAGTGTATGAAGCGTGTGTACGATGCCCAAATTCATGTTTTAACAGTTAAATTTAACTCTCCAAATTCCCAGCGAAAGTAAAAGGAGTTTGAATTTGCTAAATTCTCATCAATTTCGATGTTTTACCATCTTTTTTTTAAAAAAATTGCCTTGGAAACTGTACTAACAGACAAGAATATTAATTCATTCTGTGATGCTAGAATGGGAGGTAGGCTAACGACCTTGATGAAAGAGGAAAAGAAGTCAGAAATTGTAGTTTAATTGCTGCATTTCTTCACGGACAAAAATGTAGAGTAAATTGATAAGCTAATGTTACCGTTGTTCCACCTAATAGTCTAGTCCTGGTGTCAACACAGGAAAAAAGGCGCATGAAGATAGTGCCACGGAAGGATATCCATCAGGAATAGCCGACGACATGCCCGTTGGGTTAATAAACACTGCTATTCACACGGTCTTCCTCACCACTTTTTGGTTGTTCACCATTACATCGAATGGCTTATGGCGTGCTTCCTCGTGAAAGAGGCGGAGAACACACACCAGGCATGGCATGCGGTGTCGACTAACACCACCGATTGAGTAATTGATGTGGGTGTAAACGGCTCAACTGTTCTCGACACATTCCTCTCAATTTGTTCTGGCCATTAGGGTCACGTACTTTCTGATCATCAAGGACGGAGGGTTTATAGACGGTTCCCTTTGGATGCCTCACTTTCTCCAAAGACTATACACACCTGGCGACAGCCTTTCGCAACCTCTGCCTAACCGACTAGGTAGAATTCCATTCACGGGGTTCAAGTGATTTTAGGCGGTTTGGCGATTTAAAGTGATGAGAAAATATTAAGGAAACAAAACAAGGATAGATCGGCGTATGTCTGTGCTTCATAGGCGGTTGCATGTCTTTCCAGAATATTTTCAACAAAAAGCACAATCACCCAGAACATCTCACCAACTTTTGGTGGCCTGAAACAGGGGTAGAAATTTTTTTTATCCTTCTTTAGCACTGGAAAGTACCATGATCGGAAGGAAATGACTCAAACTCAAGGTGGACGACCACTTTGCTGACTCTTCACTTTGCAAAGCTTGTAAGATGGTGAAAAATTTGCCACAGCAGGCGTTCTGACACTTGGCATATGAAGCGATCCTGCGTCAATCTATGAAGACTAACTTTGCTTTTAGCGCAATGAATTTGATGTTACTTTCGAATGATCACTTATCTCCTGTCAAAGTGACTCTTACAAAAGGAGGGGGATTAGGAGGGAGCGGATCATTTCCCCCAAAAGTAACTTCCGCATGATAATTGGAAATGAATGTTGGTCAGCCCTCCTTCTCTAAAAAACGGGATCTAAGGCGAATGACAGCTCCAATGATTGCCACTTGTGTAACAAACACTTTTGCCTGAATCAAAGACAGTAAAAATAAACTCTACTACAAGTAACCATTGGGTCCTTTGGGCCAGATAGATGACAGAAAAAGAGAAAAAGCAGGTCTATTCTACAGCTCAAATGATATTTTTTCTCTTTTGTCATAAATAAGAAGGCATTTTCATAGATGGAATATAGTTATCCTTTGTGTCTACTAGCAGGAATAACCAGTCGCATTCGTGATTAATTCGTTTCTCGACCAGTTGGAAAAAAAGGCAGTATGGAAGGTCTTCCTCAAAGTTGGAAGGATTCCTCCTTTCGTAAATCAGGAGGAACCCCAATAGTATGTTACTTTACTAGTCTACTATGCTAATTAGTTTTCGCAGTTTTTAGACCTCTCCACGTCGACCACGACAACCACGTGATGTAGCAGTTTCCAGCCTCGCTTACATAGTAACGCAATTTGCTAATTTGTTTATTACGAATGTGAATACAAAACATTGGCATTGTCCACAAAATGCATAGGCATGGTGACAGCACTGAACCCAATCACAGAACCATTGGCTAGCCGTCAATGGAATTCACGTCTTGCGCTCGATGCATGCGAGGTCAAATTGGGAAAACATACAGAACCGTTACTTGGGTAATGTTATTCGCGTCCGTATGTGCGTTTGCGTCAGCTGTTGTGGGTGTTCATGTGCAAACAGGCGAGAAAAAAAGGAGAGAGGCCACCAGGCCACGCGACTGTGCGCATTCATCGGATCTTGTTTCGTTACCAAGACAAATAGACTCCGTTGCATTCAATAACCCGTAGCTATGCTTCTATAAGGTATGCATACACATGGGCCATGCAACATGGGTTTTACGAAGCAAGTGGAAGTGTAATTAATAAATTTCATTAAGAGTTTCTCATTGTTAAAGTAGCCCATTTCATTGTGAAATAATTCGTGGCATTAAAATATTGCAACGCTTATGCGAATTATGTCTCTTGCACAGGTCATTAATTACATGTCATTACCTTATTTATTGGCTTGTTCATTTTAATTAACTTATATTCTCTGAAGTGTGTAATTCTAGTTCCAATTAAATCCTGTTTAAAAGAAGAAAAGTGATAAAATTAATCCTTTAATCCGATTGGTGGATAGATGTTTCCAAGCCATAGTAGTGCCTTCTATTAAAAACCACTGATTTTTTGCATTCAGCGGAGCTGTCGATCTTCTTCTACCTCATAAAAATGATTTGGCAACCATAATATGACATCACTATCCCTTTGCCCACACCGGATTCCCTGCATTTTTGGCGACGTGTGACATTTCTATATTTGGTCACCTGACCAGTACGTAAGGGGACGGTACCTTCGAGACACGTGTGAATAATTCTGTCGCCATACCCACCACCGTTTGCAAGCCTCAATTTACATGTGATTTTCGGCAAAACTTTAAGCCTAGGTGGTATTCACTTAATCACACCTGTAAATGCGTTGGATTTGTGTGCTTTCACAAACATCGACGTGTGTTTACGTAGCTGCTCTGCTATTATCGGCTTTTGTACGGTAGAACAACACCATTTTATGCGTTGACTTTTTTCAAGGCTCAAAAGGCTAAGATCTTGGCTAAGATCTACCAAACTTGTCATCTTCATCGATGGGCAGAGCATCACGGAGGTTTTTGACACAGCCAAAGCTAGGAGCATACATATGATTAATAAAAAACATATCTCTAAGTATTTGCTAAATCCTCATTTAGAAATACAACGCATTTTAATCCCCTTAAAGAGATTTGTGGTTAACGGTGGTACCAACTTAACATTTCGACTAAAGTGCGTCCTCCGTTATTAACGGCGGTACTTTCAATTAACCTTTACGTTACCATAACATTTGGTGGCTATGGCAACATGAGAGACTCTCTTGTGATGTGGGAAAAAACGTATTTAGCTACAAAAAGTGAGGGTCGGGCACTGCGCTCCACCCTATTATTCGTAAATTTACACAAAAATCTCCTCGTTACCCTTACTTGGCGACTTGCAAATTTCGATCAGCCAAGTCAAAAAGCTGCGCTATGCACCCAGGCAGCTCTGAGTTCTCAAATCAAAACAAAAGTTTTCTTATTTGTAAGCAGCATTTTTGGACAGAATATCACTACAGAGAGGGGGTAGCCAATTTGTACCTACTTTGCGTAGTGGTTCCCATTGCCGATTTGCGTTCTACCTCCAAATAACCGCTCGCCTCCTATTGGTTCATTGACCCCGCCAGGTTTAAAATGCACCGATTCAGAATCTCCTTCGGCCGAGTTGCAATACATATGTGCACTGATTGATAGCGCCTATTTGACTTTGAATTGTCTGGATCTTCCCATCCATTTGGCGTTCACTACGCATAATTTATAGGGATAAAAAAACTAAAAGAAGCGCAACACTGCCAAAAGTGGAAAAAGGGAGAAAGGAGGAGTCATTACGTTAAACAGACTTTACGCAACTGCATTTGTTTAACTAAGAAAGAAGGTCCATTTAAAGAGAATATGAAGGATCACATTTCTGTGCACAGAGGTGGGTAGCCGCCTGATCGATTCGAAGTAGATTGGATTACCTATGGGTGGATTCGTATTCTTACACACGGTCCTGTTTCCGCAAGTTTTATCTAAAAATAAAATAAATTGGATTTCGCATTATTAGCCATGAAATAAACGAAGGTAAGAAATGCATTGCCCGAGAAAAATTGAGACAAGAGGCAACACTAGTGAGGGAATGAGAGATCGTCATGAAAAATTTATGGACCAAAATCATAAAGTGGTTAATGTTGGGAAGG